ATGGGGAGACAGTCCAGGGTGTGACACTTCCAGTCTGTTGCACCCCGACTCTGGAATGATCTTCCTTTATCCTTACGCAGCATTGACAGTCTGGACACTTAAAAAACAGCTAAAGACCCTTTTATTTAACCCTCCCTCTGTCTTTATGGGTGACCCCGCGAGGAAAGTTGACCATTGAGCAGGATTGATGGTTTATCCCTTGAGATCCACGTGGCGGGGTGAGGTGGTGGTCACTCCTCACCCCTGCCACATGGACCCAAGGGATAAACCATCAATCCTGCTCAAAGGTCAACTTTCCTCGCAGGGTCACACCCATTAGGACAGTGGGAGGGTTAAAGCTGCTTTTACCTAAATCTTTAATTTTCTCATTTCTAACTCAAATTTTGAATCTTTCATCTATTTATGAAATTTTATAATTTCATGCCTTTATTTTTTATGTTAATCTATTTCTGTTTTGAGATCATTATGATTTTATGACTTTGTTTTGTTTTGAGCTATGTGAAGCACTTTGTGATTCTATGTCTGTGATAAGTGCTATAGAAATAAAATTTACTTACTTGCTCACTTTTTTATGTAATTGATGTCACCCCAATAAATCTCAAATAAATGTTTTTGATAAATCATGTTTGTGATTCTCAGACTTGATTATGTTGATTCAATTTAATTTAATAGATTATTTTAAAAGTCCAGGTATGAACAAATCAGAAAACGTGTCAGGTATGTACTGGATGCGTGTTTGTGTTGATAAAAATGTTAGATTTTTGTGATTTTGATAGCTAGGGCCAATGTTTAGATTTTACAGTTCATTTACCAAAATTACACTGTAAAGTCATAAAAAATTGGGTTAATTCATATTGTCATTAATTGTGACTTTTTAACATACAAACCTTAAACTTTTAAGTCAAATTTATTTCATGATAACCATTAAGGAAGTAGCTATAAACAATAAACCAGTCTTATGAGGGGGAAACACATTCAACACGAAAAAGAACATTCCAGAAGTGCCACCTAACTACTGTAGTAAGGATTTCTCTATAAAAATGCTGATGTCACCAGATTCAAAAGAAGCGACAAGAATTTTTTACAGTGAAAGAAACGTTAAAACTGTCAGAGATGTCCTCCACTTTCTGTTCACTAACAAATACGAGGGTAAAGATCACTCACGAACATTTCAGAACAATGGACGATTATCGGACAGCTGCAGGGCAAATGTTTTGATGTTTTGAGGAGGTTGCTGTTGTTGATCCAGTGATGGATGAGCTGGTATGGATGCAAACCTGTTATTATTGTAGATCCTATCTGTGAAACGCTGTGTGTGTGTTTGTATGCAAATGATTTCACTAGAAGAGGAAGAGGAGGAGATTTGTCTGTCATCATCACACACACACTTACTATTATCTTTGCCTTGACTTGCAGGTTTCTGTGAAGAAAACAGTGAATACTTTTCTCATTTATTTATATAATTATGTATTATTATTATAATATATACATTTCTCTGTAATAAATTAGACAGCAGCAGCTCAGGAGTAGAGCGGGTTGTCCAGTAATCAGAAGGTTGCAGGTTCCCTGGCTACCAGCAGAGAATGCTGCTGTTGTGTCTTTGGGCAAGACGCTTAACCCACCTTGCCTGCTGGTGGTGGTCGGAGGGACCGGTGGCGCCTGTGTTCGGCAGCCTCGCCGACAAGTAATCAGAATTGCGCCCACATTTTCTAAGTTAACACACATCTCTTCAGTGGCGGACTGGTAATAGGGAGAAACGGGAGATTTCCCGGTGACCTGGCCGTTAGACTGGCCCGCTCAGTGATTGCTGGTCATGACGTGTGTAATATCTAAATGAGCAATCCGTCATACAGCTCATCAGGGCATCTGCTCTCCTGATGTTCGCACAAACGGAGCAAACTGGGCACAAAGACACCCCCTCCTCTCACTTTGTCGGGGTCTGGCAAAGCGCAGCAGACACCCACCACCCCAGAGCGGCTACAGCACCACCGCACCTTTGGCCAGAGGCAAAATGGACCAAGACGGACCAGGAAAGGTGGAGCAGAGCAAGGGAGATGGAAAAAGAAGAAAGCTCTGACCACAGATGCATGTCCAGACGGTCATGTTGGGAGAACCAGTTTAAGGTGGTTTTTGGGCCAGTTTAATTATCGCGCAGCGCGCAATGACGGGCATGTGCAGCTGGGGAGGGAGAAACAGCGGCCGTCAGGAACGGATCATGATAATCAGATCATCAGACTCATCCTTTAGGGACAGAGAGCAGTGCATTGGACCGGTACCAGCACCGCCGCCACTAGTATTTTTTCTAGGTTACAGTGCATACCGGTAAATTTTCCAGGTATTCATTAGTCGAAATCTCAGATTTTTGAAAAGATATCTGTGTGTCCTCTAACATCAGTCATCCACAGTCTGGCACGAGCTCCATGAAGGGCTGCATTTTGCGCAAAAGGCGCATCACTGCTGCGTGGCGCGCCGCGCGTCACCATCAGCTCAGGCAGAGGAGAGAAATCAAAACTGTTCCCCCACACCGTACACATTCCTGCAATGACTGACAGCAGCATCAGCTGACCAACCAGTGGTTAAACGCTCTGACAGGCAGGTACATCCATGCAGAGAAACGGTTTCTAAACGGAAATATGGATGAGCAAACACAAGACATAAAAGGAGTGTGCTTCACTTGAAATGTTGTGGCCATAAAGATCCAGCTGCTGCTGATCATGAGACGAATGAGATGATCATTCTGACCTGGAATGATCTTTAGATTTCACATCAGCCCTGATGATCATTTATGATATTTCTTGTTAAATGCATAAACCTTCACCTCTGGCGTATAGTCTTTGGTTCACAGTCTTTAAACCCGTAGTATTATTATTGGTGTTTATATGAATATTATGAGGAAAACATTCATATGGTCTGTCAGTATATATGGATGTAATATAAGTAGAACCAGGATCGTCTCGGGGTCCCCCTGGGTGTGTTGAGGGCTTCCTGGAGCTCCATAGCTCATCCGTTATTCGAATCCTGTGTGTAGCACAAGTTTGTCGCGTGAGTTGCCGGATATGGGGTGCCATTTGTAAAGCCAAACAGTCATAATCTCAATATTTTTGGTTATTTAGCATATCATAAGAGAAAAAATTGGGAGTTCACTTTTTTGAAGTCATATTTTCACCATGTTATTCATACATTTATAAATGTTATAAGTTTCCAAATAAATATTTAGTTAGCAAGCTAAATATTTAATTTGTAGTTAAATATTTATTTTGCAAACTAAATATTTAGGTCTGATCTAAATATTTAGTTTGTAAAATAATTATTTAATTCACTAACTAAATATTTAATTTACTAATTAAATATTTATTTTGGAACTAAATATTTAGTTTGCAAAATAAGTATTTAACTACAAATTAAATATTTAGCTTGCTAACTAAATATTTATTTGGAAACTTTAACATTTATAAATGTATGAATAACATGGTGAAAATATGACTTCGAAAAATTGAACTCCCAATTTTTTCTCTTATGATATGCTAAATAACCAAAAATATTGCTGTTTGATTATGACTGTTTGACTTTACAAATGGCACCCCATAGCCGGAATCGTCCTTTCAAAATGAGATAGTTCCCGGATCTTGTTCCGGCAAGATCCGGCTCAAATTAAGGACTGGGCATGAGCAGAAAACAGCGGAATGAACCGAGTTTTGCAACACAAGTGTGAGAGACATTTCACCATCTTGTTTCCCAGTAAGGCTCCTGTTGGTCCACCTGCTGGTTTGTGAAACAGATTACCCAACAAGCTCAGAAACTAAAACATGAAATCACCACCAGAAAACAACCAGAAACACTTGAATTTTATTATTTATCGACAGTTTAAACATTCCTTTTTTTGCTTGGTTGTTTTTTCTAAGTATTCTAAATGTTATTATAGAACAAAAACTGAATATTTAGATTTATTTTAAAAATACAGCATGAATTCCGAGTGCCGAGTACTTCCTCAGATACAGAAGTTTATTGCATTAAAAAATGAAGCTTATGGAACTATTACATGTAACTTGTACCAAGCTTTGTAACATGTAACATGTTTTGTAACTGTAATTCTTATTTTGTAACCCATAACATTTGGTGCGTAGCACGAAACTTTCATTTTGTAACTTGCAGAAAAAAATCAATGTACAAGTTTCAAATCACAACTTTTAAAACACAAATCTCAGTCTACAGTTACAAAACTCAAGTCTACAAGTACAAAACATTTTGTTCCAATTCCAGCTTCCTTCCCAAAGAACCAATGACAGGCTTTGTCTGACCAGCCAATCATGAGTCTAGGATTCGTGTCAAAGAAAATTCCTGTTGGAAGCAAGCTAGAATTGGGACAAAATGTTTTGTACTAGTAGACTTCAGTTTTGTAACCGTAGACTGAGATTTGTGTTTTGCAGTTTTTTTCGATTGCTAAAACGCGTTTTTCAAAACTGTACATTTCTTTCAAAAATGCACACACAAAACCCCAAACATAACACACAAATTCCTAAACCGTGGCTTCCCTTTGCAACAAAACCCTGCCACCACATATCGTAACATGTTCCCAAAATGGAACTCGTGTTTTCATTTGGTGGACACAGCCACATTTTCACATGACACACACATACCATTCATTGCTCAAACACAAGTAGCCTTTGGGTGAACACTACCAAGCATGGAAAGAACACTGAAGAGCAAAACTGAAAACACAATTGTCTAAATGGAACACAATGAATTACACACTGAATGTATGACAGTGCCCACTTTTCCCTGAGACAAACATTAGACATCACTCAAATTTTGAGACAAAACATTTTATTTTTACGGTACCCCACACACACACACACACACACACACACACACACACACACACACACACACACACACACACACAAACACACACAAATTTTGAGACAAAACATTTTATTTTTACGGTTAACCCCCCCCCCCCCCCCCCCCCCCCCCCCCCCCCCACAAAAAAAAGCATAACCATGGGGCATGATCATGGGGCATCATGCCGCTGGTCTCTGTCTGGCCAGAGGGCCTCATCAACATCACCGGCGATGTCCTCCTGGTCCAACAGCGCTGGAAGTACCGCCTCGAGTGCCTCATGAAGCCCTGACAGGCCTAAAAGGCCACATCTCTACAAGCCTCCTCCGTGGCTTGAAGCAGTGGGACCTTGCTCTGTGGATTCCTTTCGTACACCTTCCACCTCCAGGCTGAGAAAAACTCCTCAGTGGGATTGAGGAAGGGGGAATAAGGTGGAAGGTATAAAACAGAAAACCGTGGGTGGTCCTGAAACCACTCGTGCACCTGGGTAGCCTTGTGGAAACTTACTTTTATGCTGCAGTCCCTGATTGCAAATTTCTTGCCAGACCTGAAAGTTTAGAGATTTGAATAGTTGTGTGTTGTTGATTGAAGCTTTGAGAATTTATGTGGAAATTGTGTGTAAACCTGAAAATTGTGTGTTGTGTTTTGACAGCAAGGTAATGTGAAATTGACATCAGAGTGTAAAGGAGGAAAATCAGAGTTCTAGTATGATAAGGAAATCTTAAGTAGTGATAAATTGAGTCAAGCGATTGGGAACAGAAGTAGAGGTTGTGAAAATTGTGCCTCGTTTTTGCTTTTTGAGTTTTAGCAATCGAAAAAAACTGTAAAAGTTGTGATTTGAAACTTGCACATTGATTTTTTTTCTGCAAGTTACAAAATAAAAGTTTCATGTTACGTACCAAAGTTACATGTTACAAAATAATAATGATAATAATAATACATTTTATTTAACAAGCGCCTTTCTAGTCACTCAAGGACACTGTACAGAATAAAAACACAAATCATTCAATAAAACAAAAGTAGACAAAAGTACAACATAAGCAAAACAAATAAACAAAGATAACAAACAAGGCACTCTAAAATTCAAGAGAATTTGTAAAATGAGAATTAAATGCAACAAAAATAAAGTTATGTGTTACAAAACATGAATTACATGCTACAAAACAAAATTTACAGTTACAAAACATGTTACAAGTTACAAAACTTGGCACAAGTATTGTCCCAATCCTAGTTCCATACATTTTCCAGCATGGTGGCTGCAGGCACAAGCATCATCTCATAAAAACACTACAGAGGTATCAATATTTTTATCTGTTATTTTATACTTAATACAGATAAATGGAGCGCTTGTATTTGTTTATAACTGAATCCAATCAATGTTCTCAGCGTTCTCTTGAAGAAACACCAAGCCCCACCAATGCCGCTCTAACCCGGAAGTACCAAAAATTGCAGTTCCACCCTCATCCGCTGGGGGCTGGCGTCAGAAGCGAGCAAATTCTCATTGACTCCCATGTTAAAAATACCAATTTCACAGCAGAAATAAACATGTTTACAGCCTGGTACCAGAACATGTTTTTTGTTTAAATGATCTCGTTTACACTCATGACAACTCTGAGGGGGGTGAATTTTTTTTCTCACTCTTCTGTTTAAGTGTATTAAAAGCCTAAAATTCTGTATAATTAATGAGCATCAGACCCACGTGACCACAGAGCTAGCTCCGTGGAAAGGCCTCAGTAGAGCCTCGGTTTGGCCTGGAAACTGTTCTAAGATTTTGAGTCTCTGTGTTTGTGTATTCTGTTTTGGATATTTTTTGTGCAATTGTTGGACAAAATGACTTGCTGTGGCATTAATTGCACTGATAGAGCGTCCAAGGAGTCTCCACTTCATTTTTTTGGTAAGTAAAATTATATTTATGAATTGTAGGTCACTGCCGAGCTGAGCTTAGATTTTAACATGTACTGTTTAACCATGAAATTTAAATGTAATAGGGTAAACCCCAGTGCATTTAACATAATGCTGCACTTTAGAAAATGGGTTGAAATATAACATGTTGGTGGAGCTGGGTTCCTTAGGCCTGTGGAGCTCTCGGGAGACCGATGTTTTCCACCCGTTCTCCCCTCCCCGCAGCCCGGTGCATCTCTGTCTGATGGCGGCTTCTGTCTGCTGCGTGGGCTGCCGGCTTGTGGAGCTCTGAGATGGAAACCTTTCCACCCGGTTCTCCCCAGCGGCAGCTCTGCGCATCTCAGACCACAGCGGCGCTTGTCTGCTGTGCAGCTGCCGGCTTGTGGAGGTCTGGGAGACCTCTGTGTTCCACCCAGTTTTACCCAGCGGTCAGCCCGGCGTATCTCTGACTCGGAAGCTCTGGTGTTGTGCACAGTTAACTCCGGTTGTAGCTAGGTTGCTACCTCCGTTAGCTTAGCTCCCACCTCCGCGTTAGCTTTGGGTTAGCTTCAGGTTAGCTTGTAGCTAGTTCGACCAGGTGTCGTCAGTTGATCCCAGCCTTACAGCCCCACCCTCAGCTCCTCCTCTCTTCCCTTTTATGGAATTGTCTGGGCTTGACGGAACCTGTGACACGGTCAAAATGGCGGTGTGGCCACCTCCCATTTTAGTACAAAAACTTATTATTGGAGTCTTTGGAAACCCATTGTCCATATATGTATGTCGAAGAGAAACACAATTACCACCTGCACTACCAAGATTCTCCACTAATTGGCAGTAGACACAGATCGTTTTAGGGAAAGTTAAATGGTGAATTGTTTATATGCGAAACGACAGGATCTGAGATGTTCCAGGGTGACATGATAAAAGTTACCATTTCTGTTCATTCCACCACTTTTGGTTTACGTTTCTAAACGCCTTTTTAAAAACAGCTTTCTGTTATTTTTTTTTTTAGCCCACCTGCCAGCTCCAGTGTTTGTGTTTGGAAACTAGAAAATATGAAATATTCACAGATTATTTCTCACACTCAGACTTTACAGCACGGCACGCTGGAGCGGTGTAGAAAGTTCTGACGTGTGTAGTAAAATAAATGGGAAGGAAACAGGTTAGTTCAACACCTCACATTGTGTCATTTAAAGCAGATTGGCTCAGACGCATCTGGGTTCAAGCCTTCAGCCAGGCTTCCTGTAGAAGCAGAAAAAAGGTGAGACTCTGATCTTAAACCTGAATAAAACTCTAAACTGATCAGTCAGACATTTAAGCTAGCTCTGTGGAACGTTCTGAACCATTTAAATATGCCGTAGATCGCTCCTTCAACAGCCTTTGTTGGTAGAAACAGAGATGAGCTCCGACCAGACAGATGAGCCAGCTAGTCACAGATTAACAATTAGTTTGATGTAATATTTTATTATTATTACTTAGCAAATAATGCAAATTTCTGCTCATAATTAATCATTTCTGCTGAAATAAGTGTGAAATGAAATGTGTGTGCGTGTGAGTGTGTGTGTCTGTGTGTGTGTCTATGTGTGTGCGTGCAAGTGTGTGTGTGTCTGTGTGTGTTTCAATATGTGAGTGTGTGTGTGTGTCTATGTGTGTGTTTGTGTGTGTGTGTGTGTGTGTGTGCATGCGAGTGTGAGTGTGTGTGTGTGTGCATGTGTGTGTGTGTGTGTGAGTGTGTGTGTGTGTGTGTGTGTGTGTGTGTGTGTGTGTGTGTGTGTGTGTGTGTGTGAGTGAGTGTGTGTGAGTGTGTGTCTGTGAGTGTGTGTGTGTGTGTGTGTGTGTGTGCTTGTGAGTGTGTGTGTGTCTGCGAGTGTGTGTGTGTGTGTGTGTGTGTCTGTGTGTGTGTGTGCGTGTGAGTGTGTGTCTGTGAGTGTGTGTGTGTGAGTGTGTGTGTCCTTGAGTGTGTGTGTGTGTGTCTGTGTGTGTGTGTGTGTGTGTGTGTGTGTGTGTGTGTGTGTGTGTGTGTGTCTGTGAGTGTGTGTGTGTGTCTGTGTGTGTGTGTGCGTGTGTGTGTGAGTGTGTGTGTCTGTGAGTGTGTGTGTGTGAGTGTGTGTGTGTGTCTGTTAGTGTGTGTGTGTGTGTGTGTGTGCGTGTGTGTGTGTGTGTGTGTGTGTGTGTGTGTGTGTGTGTGTGTGTGTGTGTGTGTGTGTGTGTGTGTGTGTGATGTCATGGATGAGGCGTTTAGGCTGATCGGTTCTTTGTGGTGGAGGATAGCTCCATCTGGAGCCAGAGGTGGGAAAACCCAAAAGCATCACATTCACATGTCACTTCTGCAGAACCAGCCTTTAGAACCACGTGATGCACGAAAACTCTAAAGTTTCTAAGCTGTTTTTCACAATTGTGGTGTGTTTTCCTCCACAGCCATGTCCATCACCTTCACTGTTGAAGATGGCTATTTTAATGAAAATGAGACCTTCCCTCCGGACTTGAATCCAAACACGATTGCGTGTCGCCTCAAACCTCTGGAAAACACGGTAGCGCTCATCTTGTGCTTAATTCAAATCACCAACTTCCTCTTGGCCATCCCAGGAAACTTGCTGGTGGGGTTGGTGATCTGGACCAGCCGGCAGGTCCTGACCTCGTCAGACGTCTACCTGTTTCACCTGACTATAGCCGACGGTCTGATGGCGCTGACGCTTCCCTTCTTTGCGGTGGATCTGGTTCAAGGGTGGCTCTTTGGGGACTTCATGTGCAAACTCCTCTGGGTCGTCTTTGAGGCCAACTTCTACACCAGCATCATCTTCCTGGCCTGCATCAGTGTGGACCGGTTCCTGGTGATCGTACATGCCAACGAGACTGACAGGAGTCACATGAGGAGGTGCAGCAGGCTCCTCTGTGCGGTGGTGTGGGCTCTTGGTTGGGCCCTCGCCTTGCCCGCACTTTTCCATGATGCCAAGTTCGATGTGGACTTGCAGCGGTATAGTTGCACAGAAACCTTTGACATTGGGAGCTCCACTGGTTGGAGGGTTGCCACTCGAGCATTCCAACACTTTTGTGGCTTTTTGGTCCCTTTGATGGTCATGATGGTCTGCTACAGCATCACAATCGCCAGACTGATGAGTACACGTGGTTTCCAGAAGCACCGGGCCATGAGGGTGATCATCTCCGTGGTGATGGTCTTCCTGCTCTGCTGGGCGCCGTACAATGTCACTCTTATGGTGGACACGCTGCTCAGGGCCGAGCTGATAACATTTGACTGCACCACGAGGATGTCAGTGTCCGCTGCCCTGAAACTGACCTTCGTTCTGGCTCTGCTCCACAGCAGCATCAACCCTTTCCTCTATGCTTTTGTGGGAGAAAAGTTCAGGAAGAAAATGATGCTCCTGCTGAGAAAGGTCAGACAGGAGAGGATGTCAGGGTCAAGGTTCAGCAGGTCCACTTCTCAGACCTCAGAGGGAACTGGAACTGTTCTCTGAAGATCTGGTGGAAGTGGTGCTAAAACCAGAGGAAAAGTCAGGATTCTACCTTTCACTCATTCACAGTGTTGACTTCTATGTGTGGGGCTCTGCTGCCCCCTACTGGTGATGTTTTATCTTCATGTTTTCTTTAAACCATCACTGATGGAACGGTTTTGAAGCTCTTAGAACCCCATTTCAGCAACAAAACTCAGGGTTTTATACACATGTAACATCCAAAAGGGTCAATTTTCACCTATGTTTTGACCAACGTAATAACCTTTCATCTACAGAAATAAATCCACTTTCTAGGTGACCTTCTAAATCCAGAAGGTTCTGTTCAACGCGTGCTGACATTCCATGAAGACAAAACATTCAAACATTCTCACCCAAGGTCCTACACTCTCTGTGAACGCCAGACAGACGTCAACATTCTTCACTTTGAACAAGTGAAGACTCCATGATGTTATAGTTATAAGTTAAATAATCATATGTGATGAATGAACAAGATGTTTAAATCAAATGTTTGAATAATATGTGCTTAAATCAATAAATATTGTTCTTGCAATTATCCATTTATATCACAAATCACAATGTGTTTGATTTAACAAGTTAACCATTGTTTACACTCATACACATTACAATAAGATACATATTAAGGTTAAAAACATCTTTGCGTCTGAAGGAGGGCGTGGCTTTCTGAGGGATGTTGGTAATTACTCAGAAACATGTCAAATTCTGATGGGCCAAACTTGGCCAGAAATCATAACAAAGTAGTTTAATAAAACAAGATATTACTTCCCGATTAATTCAGTTTCTCGCTGAAACCCGATTCGGCCAAATCGGGAAAGAAGCATCTCTTTTGAAACCATCTCCTTTTGTCAAAACCTTTCTGCGACGCTGCAAGTGATTACAGACACAACAGCTCTTTTCAGAGCTACTTCAACTCTCATACATCCACTTTGGACACCTAACCTGCAGACCCCCGGGTTGCATCTCATGGCCTGGGAAGCTGAACTCAGAGGACGCTACTAATCTCTGAGAATTGTGGTTTTGACGTCCGGTAACCTCACCACTCTGACACCCTCCGGACCGCCGGGAGCAACTCATACCAGGGTATTGTAAGCCTGCATAATGGTGTCTGATGAGGTTTATAAATAACTAACTCTCTAGTTTATAACAAACAACAAATTATTTTACACCCAGAATTAACTATTTCGGTTGCTACAACATCTAGCTTCCATCACAACACCTCACATCCACCACATCACATCTCCTTATTCATATCTTGTCATGTATAAATTATTAGTTTAGGAAAAATAATTAAATTCATTTTATAAACTATATACTGACTCTGAATTAATACGAAGTGTGTTTATGGTCCCTGAAGGAGCAATGAACCCTAGAATCTTCTGATTAAACATTCAAAGCCACGATTTGCGCCTGTTGTCTCTCGCTGACAGAGCAGAGAGGTGGTTACAGCCAGGTTAGCTGCATCTTTCAGCAGAACAGTAAGACTCCAAGTCCCAGAAACCCCCGCGGTCACAAGAAAACTGTTCGGCGGAAGCCAGCAGCAGCTCGTCTCGCGAGGTACAGTCAAATTTATGAACTCGGTATTACTAATCTAAACAATGACTAACACCCGGTTAAACGTTTAATTACCGCTTTAATGTTATGTTGGAGTGTTGTTACTGACATGTTGTTCCCGTTATTTAAACGAGTCAGCGCTAACTGTCCTCATCATAAAAGCACAGTTTATGATGATCGCTAGCTGGACTGTTAGCTCGGTGTTGGTGTCCCAAACCGGGATTGGATCGATTTTAACCCCAAAACAACAAAACGGGAGTTTTAGCCCTTTAGCTGCTGACGTCGTTTGTTTAGTAGACGCGTTACAACTCTGGTGTAACTTGTTTGTGTGTCAAAACCCGAAACGGTGTTGCTTCTGCTAGCATAGATGGTCCTCGTTAGAGGGTAGGAAGTATAGGAAGTAAGGATCACAGGTGAGATTATAATTCCCACACGTGACTGAGAGTTTTCTAGATCATCACGTTTCTGTTTTATTCTTTATTTCGTTTAGGGGAAACAAAACTATTTATTTAATTTGCTTAAACTAGCTGTCATATTTCCATATTTAAATAAGGAATGAGACTTAGGGGGGAAACGCTAAACTGTTGATAACTTTTACATAAAAATTTCAAAATAATGCAAACTTTATGCACACGGTTTTGTTGTTCTTTGCATATTTTTTGCAGGAGTTTTCATAGTGGCTACAGCTCTTCTAGATGCATACCGGTGTGTTGTAATCTGATCTGAAGCGGCTTTGATTTGAAAACACTTTTTGTTTTGCTTTCACATTCTGGATAAACTAAACAAATACTAAACATCTGGGCTCACCTTGAGAAGACAGCTGGATCAAACATGAGGAGAAATCTGACCTACTTTGTTAAATAATGGAGTTGATTCTGTAAATATGGATTTAGTTTATGTTTATGTGAAACTGTTAGTGAACTGGGTGAATGTGGCTCAGCACACAGCGGTGTCAGAGTATTCTGATAGCTTTGTTATGTTTCAGGTAAACAAAGCCCACCCCTTGACTGTCACACACAGGAATGGAGCAAAGGTCAACATTTTCTCTGACATGAGCTGCAGCCAGTAGCAGTTTAACCACCTCGTCATCTGCCTGGACAATGGTTTGCTCACTTCAGCGTCCTCTGACTCTGGCAGGAAGAGGATAAGAGAAGACTTCACAAAGTCGCCTGGTGTTCCTCATATGGTGATCTGACACAGCTGGAAGGTTTCTCCCTGCGTCCAGGCGTAAGCTCCAACAGCTGCCAGGATGTCATCAGATGATACAACGACCAGCGGGGACAGATCAAAGCGGGACGAAGGTCTGAAAGTTTCTCCATCTGAGGACGTGGGAGATGTGGAGACGAGTGCTGCTGCCAGGTCGGAGGTCCAGTCTCCCTGTGAGAACCCCCCAGAAGTCACCACACAGTTAACGTGTTCTGTGCTTTACTTGTGTTTCTACGGGTTCATGACCTCGGTGCGGCCCGGGGAACCCTTCATAACCCCAAATCTGCTGAGCTCAGAGAAGAACTTCACCAGGGGGGAGGTCAGTGGTCCGTGTTATTCCGCCTTAACCTCCAGAACAGGCTAGCCTCCACGCGTAAAGCTCCGGATGAATGTGTTCTCTGTAGGGACTTTACTGCTCCACCTGACTGTGGTCAAAGTTCACATTCCACCTTAACAGATTTGTTAAGGTGGAATGTGACTTCTAGAGTAGTGATGTTTGCGTTTTTATTGATTATGACTCATTTTCAGTCACTGCCAAAGGATTTTAACATGTTGGTATCAGATTTGCAGCAGAGCTAAAACAAGCTGGAACATTTTCTGCTCAGAGATTTTCTTCGTTAGAGCAGAATTTTCACAAGATAAAAAAACAATAATTTAGTCACCCAGTCGATAAAACTGGCCAGAGTTCACATTTTAAAGTGACTGCAGGCTCCAAACATGCACGTTAGCCGGTCGCAGAGATGAGAATAAACAGGAAGTGATGTAATCCTTTTTGTAATTAAATCTTCATGTTGCTATAAAAGCAGAGAAGAGCTGCTGTCTGAGTGTAAGACGTGGCATTTTAAAGTAGGTGTTGATGTGGAAATCTGAAGAAACGGTTGAAGATCTGTGGATTCTGTGTTTGGATGACGTTTTGCTGTTCGGCCATCTTTACTCTCACCACAGAGTCGAGCTTAGGCACATTTCTGAACGTACAGACGCCTCACACGCCTGAAACAACAACAGTGGTCTCCAGCACCTGTGATGGTTAAATATTAAAGTGGGATTAAAACAAACTTTTTATCTGTAACGATTTCTGCTGTTTAGTAAATTCCCCGTCTTTACGCGTTTTTAACCGGGTCATCTTCTTTTATCTTCACAGTTTCCATAAGTCTTAATGTGAAAAACTAAAGTTTTCTTTAAAACGGGATTTGATTCTCGTAACTCAGGAGTGTAGCTGTTGGATAAAGCAGCAGAGGAAAAGTAGAGGTTGTGTTTTTGGACCTGTTCTGAAGAACCCGTCCCTCTCATCCCTCCAGGTGACCAATGAGATCACGCCGGTGCTGACCTACTCCTACATGGCCGTGCTGGTGCCCACGTTCCTGCTGACGGACCTCCTGCGCTACAAGCCGGTCTTGATCCTCCAGGGCATCAGTCACGTGGTCATCTGGGTTCTGATGCTCCTGGGCACCACACTGCTGCACATGCAGCTTATGGAGTTCTGCTATGGGATCACCATGGCTTGCAGAGTGGCCTACTCCTCCTACATCTTCTCCCTGGTCAGCCCAGCGCTCTACCAGCGCGTGGCGGGCTACTCGCGCTCCGCCGTCCTTTTGGGGGTCTTCACCAGCTCTGTTCTGGGCCAGCTGTGCATGTCTCTGGGCAACGTGACCTTCTACACGCTGGACGCCATCTCCTTGGGCTTCGTGAGCTTCGGTTTGCTGCTGGCTCTGTGCCTGCCGTGGCCTAAACGCTCCTTGTTCTTCAATCGGACTAAGAATCAGGAGCAGAAGGAGCTGGGAGCGGCGGCTCAGTCCGAGCTGGACAAAATCAACCCAAAAGCCGAAAGGTCGTCCTCCGCGTCATGCTGGAAGGACTCCATCCTTTTTCAGATGCTGCTGGAACTGAGGAACGTTGTGAGAAGACCCAACCTGAGGCTCTGGTCCCTGTGGTGGGTGTTCAACTCCACCGGCTACTACCTGGTGCTGTTCTACGTCCACATCCTGTGGAATGATATCCAAGTCGACACGGAGGACAAGAAGGTTTACAACGGAGGAGTGGAGGCTGCTGCCACCTTGCTGAGTGAGCAGATCCCAGAAACGTCGTTAACTTCCTGTTGGGTCTATTGGAAACATCTCTGTTATTAATTATCATTAAAATTTGCTCCACCGGGCTTGTCGTTAACTAAATCAGCTCCACTTGCCACTGCAGGAGGGTCGTGAACACATGAAGTCATAAAGTATCCAGTAAAGTCATCTGTCAGCTGTTTTTATGAGGTGACATCACTCACTTGGACCAGGACCCGCCCGATAGGATCACAGGTGCTGTTAACCTGTCTTCGTGAAGCATTAGTGCTGATAAGTGAAAGGTTATGATGTCAGTTAAAAGGAAATCAAATAACGGTTCAAAGGTCAAGCCACCTTCCTTCAGGCTCCGCCCCAGAGCCTTATAGTCGTAGAAAACGTTACAACAGACACCACACCCGGTGGCTAATCCCTAACGCGATGCTACTACCAGACTAATTAGTATGCTAGCTTATGTAGCTAGCCCGGCTCTAGCTGCACTTCCTGTTCGGCTGCTCTGATTCATGCACATAGACAAGTGTGTGGGAGGGAGGGTCAGGGGAGCAGTCATTAAGATCGGGACCTTCACACAGATTGGATGGTTGGTTTCAGAGCTGTTTGACAAAGAAACGCTCCAGGAAAATGTCTGCGGCACCTTTAACCTCATCCTGATGATGTTTCTGACTTTTAGACTAACTCTGGATCTTTCTTGTTGAACAGGTGCGGGCACTTCATTCGTGGCAGGCTTTGTGAAAATTCGTTGGAACGTCTGGTCCGAGCTGGTCATTGGGATCATCACTGCGCTGCAGGCGGGCCTGCTGCTCCTCATGCGCGACACCAACAACATCTGGGTCTGTTATGTTTCCTACATCCTCTTCAGAGGCGTCTACCAGTTCCTGGTTCCCGTCGCCACGTGAGTACCCGTGATGCTGCGGTAGGGACGTGAAAGCTGCTGCTGATCAGGATTCAGCAGACTGGTGAGTCATGATGTTGTCGTCTCTGAAGCTTCCAGATCGCCTCGTCGCTCACCAAGGAACTCTGCGCTCTGGTGTTTGGGATCAACACCTTCTTTGGGACGATACTGAAGACCATCATCAACCTGATCTTTACAGACAAACGGGGCCTGGCATTGGACGTGAAGTCTCAGGTGATCCCATGTCATCTTCAGATGGTTCCATCTAGATGGAAAATGGATGATCACGCTGCCTACGTGTGCCTCTAGAGTCGGATTCATTCTCTAATTCTTGTTGCAGTTCCGGCTGTACTTCGTCTACTTCACCATCCTGACGGTGGTCTACCTGGTCTGCGCCGCCGTGGTGATCATCCGTCACTTCCGGAGCCAGCGAGGGGGAGGAGCTGCTGCCAGCATCCCGGCCACGGAGCTCGGCGTGGTTCCCATCACCTCCGAGACAGAACTCCTGAGCAACGGCAAACGGGTCGACCCCTGACCAGCTTATGATGAACCTGAGCCTGAATCATCTCAGTGCCTTTTTCTGCTGTAGACCCCCCCCCCCAGGCAGGTCAGCATCATGTTTAAATCGGACCCGCCCACCACGCTGGTTATTATCACGCTGACCACCATGAATGTGGTGCATTTACAGGACTTTTGTAGCTCATTTGTAGGGTTTTATATTCATTAACAGGGTAGTTCGTGTTAAAAACACGATGATGTTGCATCCTATCTGCTCCTTCTGGGCTTTTCCCCTCTTCCTGTAGTTTATTACATGAAGTGACTCGTAAAAAGGATGTGACTCGAGGGCTTTTGAGTGAAACGTTCTCTTACAAACGACTGAATGAATGTAGAAAAGCGGTTTTTAAAAAAGAAATCAGATGTTTATTTTTTATTCACAAATAAATGGCTTTCAGCAGGTTTTGTTGGTTTTTATATGAAACTTGTTTGATTCTCAGCCCGTGTAAGTTGGAGATGCTGCTGTTCATATCCTGGTGGACTTTATGAATCAAGTCTGATCTTGTTTGCTGCCTGGAGCTCTCAGACGTTACCCGACCTTCTCTCTGGGTTCTTCAGCTTCCGCTGCCTCAGAAACACGTGAGATCTGGATCGGTGTCTGATTCTTTAGTCAGCTGTTGCTGCTCTCAGCAGGAAGGCTTCAGAGCAGCAGCTGGCCTGTGGTGAGAAGACTGTTGTTGCAGCTGAAAACTAAAATCTGATCAACTTCCTGATACTTAATCTTCTGACCCCAGACAATGCTAGATTGTTCTGTTGAAATAGATAAAAGTATTTTGTTTCAGATCAGGCAAAGATAAGCTGAGTGACAGAACTCGGGCTTCATTTATTAAACTGGAACAATGGGAGATGACGGCTAAAAGATCTCAAAAAGCAAAGTAACTCATCTGATGATCCCAAAGACTTCTGGGTAAAAATCCTGGAAGCTGAGCGTCCCGTTTCCATCACCATAGCAACAGTCAGACACGGTGGTGGTAATGTGATGGTCCGGTGCTGCTTCAGGACCAGCATGAATTCTGCTCCAGCAGAACATCTGACCTTTGACCTTTCCTGCTGATGTGTCAGAATTCAGATGACTAAAGCAGAGCGGGACCAAACTCCTCGGTGGAGAAACTCAGAACCAGTTACTCCACATGCTTGGTGGTGTTGGAACCAGTTGCTTTATGACATAACCATTTCAGTTCCAGACGGGACGGTTTGGACTAAAACTTTACATCCATTTAGACCGAATGAATGGAGAACATTTGTATTTCAGCCAGTAAACGAGACATGTTGACTAAAGATGTTAGAGATGCAAGTTTTATTTGTGAAAGCTCATAAAAACAATTGTGGGATTTGCTGCCCCCTGGTGGTGAAACAAGTTAGTTTAAAATCTACAACAAAACAAACAATTTACATGTTTCTTATTTCATATACAGGTGATGTAGCTGCGCTTCCTAACAAAACATAATAAAAAATAGATCTTGTAATAAAGTATGTGGATGTCTGCTTCAACAGTGTGTGTGTGTGTAGACATTCAGACCTTAAGCATCATAAAACCAGAACCATGACCCCAGATGTAGCTAGGTGATGGAGGAGTCGGCTGAGCTTCCGCCTCCAAACTAAACACAGACTTCCCCTTTTCCCTCCGACTCAGCAACGTTCCATCTGGACATCACAGATCGTCAGCCAGAGACGTAATGAGTTTCAAGAACTCGCCGGTGACTGGCATGCAGGCCGACACCCTTCACAGGCCTTCCAGGAATTGTTCCAGGGATTTTCCTATGTTGAAACAAAACCTGCTTCAAGTCTCCTGTTTTATTTCCTTTGACTCCTTTTAAAAACTCGTGTTTCCCTCAAATCTGACTTCAGTAACAGTAAAAGCAGCAAAACAACAGGAAGCAGCTCAAAAGGCTGAGATTCAGACCTCAGGTCAGTGACATTAAAAATATTCCCTTTAAAGATCCCAAACATTCAAGATTCCCCTTTCCTTCCCGCTGCCTCTGCGTCGTTCCATCACCGACTGGTGAAGGTCCAGTGAGACTTGTTCCTGGTTTAGCTCCCCGTCATCGGAGCTTCCTCTGAAATACGACCAGAAACAAGAACATCAGGCGGCCGAAACATCAGATATTTAGAGCAGCTGATGTTTTTCATCCACGCCTCACCATCAGATTTCTCGTATGGTGAATGAGTGGCGGTGCCGTTGGAGTCGACGGCGTCTGCTTCTGTTTTAACAAGAAAACGAGTTTTTTTAATGTCTTAGAATAACCGGAAGAGACAGAAAACACACCGCGGCTGAAACTTACGCTCCCTCGTCCAAAAGTCTGAAAAGATGAAGAATGAAGACATCAACAGAATGTAAATCAGAGAAAATCCATAAAAACTGTAACGGAGCGTGAAGATTCACAAAGAAAACTGATTTGTGAGAAAACGGAGCTTTCACCTTTTTCCCAGGGCATGGACACTGCAGACAGAATCACAGCAGAAACCATTAGAAGGTTCTCATGAACATCCTAAAGTCATCTTAGCCTGGAAAACTGGACCAGACGTAACTAAACAACTGAGCCACACCCCCTAGGAGCCTCAGCAGGGCTGCCATTGGCCAGAACAGTTCAGTGTCTGGCCAATCGCAGCACTCTGTGCTTGGAGGGCGGGCTTAACGCTAGAGCTGCGATCTTCTGTCCACGTGTGGCTGAATACTTACTTTTCTCGTAGAAGCAGACTCCTGGAAGAAGAAAGGAACATGAGGATCATCTCAGACCAGAAAACACAAACACGGACCGGTCGTCACCTGTTCGGATCCTGTGGACAATCACCGGCAGCAACGCCACGGTCAGCAGACAGAAGAACACGACCAGTCCGGTCACAATCTTCAAACCTTCTTTAGGAGCTGGGGGAAAAAAAACAGAGTGGTTCGGTTTTCTCCAGAATCCAGTTTAAACCCATTTACGGACTTGTGTTACGGTTCCTGACTCACCTGTGTTCTGGGAGGAGCTAAAAGGGTTGGTGAAAGGCTCGCTGCTCTTCTGACTGACGGGATTCTTCACCTCACAGGTGAACGCTTCTGTTGCAGAACTTTCCTCCTGACAGCAAAGTCAGACGGTTACCAGCAGACCCACACTCGGACTAGAACACTTCAGGTCAGGAGAACATAAACGAGAGACACTCGGTTCTAACCAACTCTTATCAGATCAGCGTTTAATCCAGGACCTGCAGATCAGACATTTTTCACATTTCCCTTTCAAAATAAAATACCTTTACAGGAATCACCTGGACCTTTAAAATCAGGATAAAACAACAGATCTGAGTTTCATTTCTCACACATTTTACATCTGAAGTCTTTTATTCCAAAAGAAAAAGAAAGTAAGTGGCTAGAATAGTTTTACTGAGTAAAAACAAAGGCCTCTAGTTCAGAACTATTTGGATACTTCTGATAAAATATGTAAAACACACGGTGGAGAAAAGAGTGAAGTTACAAAGTCTTTAAAATCCTCCAGCTTGTTGATTATTTAAGACCTAAATGTCCTCAAAAGGCCTGAAACCACCAAAAGTTTGTCAGGATTTTAGAAAAGTTGGGACTTTATTTTCCGTGTTTTCTCTGCTGGAAGAACAAAAGTCGACGTGTAATTAATACGTCACGATTCAGATGTTCTCACGAGTTTTAAAAATGGGCCTTTTCTGGTAGAAAACACAACGTCTGTCATAAAGGAGGAATCCTGGAGAGTGAAAACAAGAATCGTTGCTGCTTCCTGCCTCAGCGCCTCAGTGTGGACCTCCTCGACGCGATCTGGACTTCCTGGTTACCCTGGAGACGTTTCACCTCTCATCCAAGAGACTCCTTCAGTCCTGAACCTCAGGTCCTGACTAGGAGGCTCAGAAACAAACGCGCTGATTGTGCTGTGAGTCTTTTTTCCTCTTAAATTAATCCAGGCCAATTTAGGTGATGCTGCTGTTCCTTTATTCCCACGTTTATAGCTGGTCCACGGGATCGGAGCATCAGTAAAGACTTGTTAACTAAAATTAGCATTACCCAGTAAACTGGGTAGTTAAAGGTAGATCTCTGCGATGTTTAAAATATTTACCGTAATGGTGAGCGTTCTCTCACCGACACCCAGCTCCACCTTCTGGTCCGACCTCCACGTGTAGGTGACCGGTTCGGCTTCTGTTACGTTTCCTTCACAGGTAAGCGTGCACGCCCTCGGCTCCTCGGAGCACTTCTCCCTAACCAAAGGAACAGGAACCTCGGCTGTTCCATCAGAGACAGACAGGAAGTAGAAAACCAGGTTAAAGTTATTTATTTATTTATTTTTTTCCAGGTTAAAGTTATTAGATCCAAGAGGATAACCGTGTGACATCATCTACTCACAGATCACGATGAGGCGGATCGGCTTGCCCCAAAGGTTGTGGTTGACCTCTGCTGTGTAAATGTTGCCGTCTCCTTTTTCCAGGCCTCTGATTGTCATCACTCCCGTGGCGTTGTCCAGGTGGCCGCGGACTTGAAAGGTCGGTGACAGCGTTAGCGCCTCGTCTAGAGCCTTGTGTGGGAAATCCAATCAGAAGCCTACCTTTGAACTGAACGAAATAATCCAGCTCCGCCCCATCCCACTGGGCAGCGATGTCTCGTCCAATCTTCCACGTGATGCTGCTGATTTTACCAACCAATGGGACTTCTGGTTTTAGGTCGACATCATCGCCCAGTTTCTTGTAGATTGTTTCTGCAAGAAAAAAAAACCAGAATGTTCCCATCTCCTCGTTTGGCACCACCCTAGAGGGTCATAAAAGGTCACCCACCATCAGAAACAAGCAGAGGGGCCAGGTGGCGGGTACCACGGGTCATTAGTGAGGAGCGTGCATGGTAACAGACCAGGTCAGATTTATGCAACCTCTTGGGTAACTTATTTATTCTATATCTTTGTTATGAGACGTGATAACGAGTCTGCTGTCTATCTTAGACGCACCTTTACAGACGCGTCTTTAAATTAACTAGTTTCCATCACAGCTACTGATGTACGAGGTCTTCCAAGTCAGAGTTATGAAACACTCTCTAACTTTCTGAGTGGGAAATCTGACGTTTCAGTTGATTTTTTCTCCTCAGAAGCTGGAATTTCCTTGTTCCGACTACAACTGGAACGCACCATAACTCCTCTGTGGGGGGAGCAGGTACGTGCGGGGGGTGGGGGGGTGCTTGAGCACCTGCCCCTTTTGTCCTAAGTGCCCTTTTTCCGGTCGTTCGTCAGATTTTACCGTACAAAACTGTTATACTGTGATACGGATCGGGCACTAGGACCATGCGGAGGCAGCGGCCTCAAGCTGAAGCCTATTTTCCCTTAGACCCGCCTACAGGCTCACTGATTGGCTCTGCTGCATCATACTAACGTGTGATTGGTTGTCCATGCTGTACTCTACCTTGTAGCCATGGAGACGACAGACCGGTGTTTTCCCTGCGGACAGGAGTCTGCGTTCATCTACCTGTAAGTTTTTTTTCTGCCTGCTTCACGTCAGCTGGATGGATTTTAATATCAGAGCTTTTGTTTACGTGCGTTTGAGTCCCTGGCTAGTGGCTAGTAACAAACGTCACAAATAAAATCCACCTGGTTGGTCAGGTGTCCCAGAAGGCTGCTTGTGTAGATGGTGGCATGAGGAGGGAGAGATTACAGTCACACTGGTTTTTATTTGAACATTCAGCTGTTTACTAAATGATTCAGCTTCATTCCAGCATTATTTATACTTACAATAAATATTTATTTAGCTGAAAATATAATGTTATCAGTGCAGAATTTTATTAGTTGACTTTTTGTAATGAAATTTTTACATTTAACCTTTTATCTGGCTTATTGATCTTCATAATGCTGGTAGAAATGTAGCTACAGCTGTGAAGTAGCCCATGAGTGTTATTTTATGATACCTAGTATTTATTTTACTGTATCCCGTTCTCTGGACCAGAGCGTAGACCTGTGGTCACAGACAGGCTGCAGTCATTAAACTGGTTAACATGAGGTCAGGGGTCACACTGTTTTCTGAGTGTTTGCAACACAGTTCTGAGTTTAAATACCAGTAGTTCTTTTGACATAGTTTGCTCAAGTCATTTTGAAGTTCCTGTTTAGTAATAACTGTAAAGAAAATTCAAATCCGTTTTTTTTCCATTTAAGCTGCAGTTTTACAGACTTTAATAAACATAAACACATTAAATACAAACCAGACACTGAAAGCTGAGGTTGTTCTGAAAAAAGGAGCAGAGTTACAAACATTTTACACTTTTATTACAATTTTAAATCCATAAAACAAAAAAAACGTGTTATATTTATGGTCATAAGAGGGTTAACCGTGATTAATTTTCTGCCTCCCACAAATAGCTGGTAAAACTGAATGTGGGCATAATTATATACATTTTATTACTTTATTATGTATTTTTTATTATTGACTATTACTCCAAAGGGTTCAAATGAAGGCAACTGGACTTCTTTGGTTTCTTTAAAACATTTCACTTCTCCTCCGAGGAGCTTTGTCAGTTCTAATATGGGAGAGCCAAGCTTATAAGCTGTAGATGTCTGTTATTTAAAGAGCAGAAACTACTCTGAGCACCCCTCCTCTCCATCTCCTGATGAGTCGTTTGCCTCTATTGATGGTGAGTCATCGTGCTGATTAGATGCAGGAAGGTGTGACCTAGACTGAAACTGAATGAGATACTGGAGCCCATTATGGGCTCAACACACGGCAGGCGACATCACCTCTCCTTCATTCATTTTCAATGAGACATGCGTGACAAAGCAATAATCGCGGGTCTCCCTCCTACCAAGCGAAACGCGAAAAACGTGTGTGTGAAATTTTGCGCACAGGCGGCCCAGCGACGCGATCCCAGAAAGTTGAAATATTTTCAACTTTTCATGAGAACCAATCAACGAAGGTTTCATTCACTGACCAATGAGCGGACTGGATGCTCCGTACATCTCTGAGCAAACATGGAGAAGTTGATTATTATTATGTTGTAAAATCAGAAGTAAGATTTCACACAACTCTAGCAGCACCCTGTGAAGCATCATATCTACCACTTTTTAAACTCTGAACTGCTAAATAACCTTAATTCCCTCCAACCTGACACAGCCAGTCAAAACAACGGAAGTTTCGATTTCTCCATGGAACAGAACCAGAACGCGTAGACGGCTTTGCCGCTGCCGCGGATCGCCTCCCGTGTGTCAGGTAATAAAAGCGACAGCGACGAATTTCGCTGATCGCGATCGTTTGTCGCCTCCCGTGTCCCGCAGGTGTGGTAGGGTGTAAACCATCACGCCACCACCCACCCAGAGGGTTGGTGTTTGGGTGTTTTATGGTAAAATGTGTCCCTGGATGATTATGCTGCTCTCAGGCAGGCTGAGACGTGTCTGCTTTAGTTTAAAACGGATATGTCTGCTTCTATTATTGATCCTAAAACAAACAATAAAGGATAAAGATTCTAGAATCTCATATCTGTCCCGTTCATGAACTGTGGGTTTTTCAGCACTTTTCCTTGTTTTCTTTGACATGAGTTAGTTTCAGTCTCGCTGTGAAACAGCTCGCGCCTGGGAGCGGCCATGGCAAGGAAAACACACAATAAGTTCTCCTTTTAACAACCAAACAAACTAGGATTAAACACCTCTAGGTAAAGAGGGTACCGCTGGTTAACGGAAGGGAGGATGTGAACTCACCTGTGGTCACTGAAGCTACCACAACACAAAACACAGCGGCTAGCAGCAGCATTGTGTGGAGGAGACGGTTTTAAATGGTCATAAACGAGGCTGAAATCACAGCTGCGTCCGTTAAAACCCCCCAAAACACATCAGCTAACGTTAGTTTCCGGTTAAAAACATTTTGGCTCCTGTGAAAGCGTGTCTGCAGCTTGTGTTGTGGCTGAAAGGCCGCTCCTGTGGGTAAAACCAAAAGTGAATTATCTAGACTCCGCCTCCTTTTTCCTAAAAACTAGTGATGGGAATTCCGGCTCTTTTTAGAGAGCCGGTTCTTTTGGCTCAGCTCACCAAAAAGAGCCGGCTCTTTCGGCTCCTAAGTGGCTCCTCAGATTTTCTGTTTCGTAGAGTACATTTATTACCAAAATAATGCTAAACTATATGTAAAATAATTTACTAATGTAAAAAAAGCAATATATCAAATATCATTTCTATGGATTTAATAATTGAACACTTTAAGAAATCTCCACTTTCCGACTGCTGGCGCTCATTTTCTCACTGTCTTCGTCGCACTCTCCTCCCTCTCGCTCGCCTTTTTCCTCCTCCTCATTCCCTCTCGTCTCCCTCCACCCGCATGTGCTCTGCTGTGTGTCTGAGTCTGATCCTCCCTCTTCCCCGCCCCTACTGCTCTGTGTGTGGACAGTCTGGACCCGCAGTTACACATGTTGACCAAAGCCTGTAGCTTTCACCAAGGCAGGGGGGGAGGGGGGAGGGGAGGGGATGGCTCCCAATGACGAGCCGGCTCCCGTCGTTCACTTCAAAGAGCCGGCCCTTAGAGCCGGTTCGTTCGCAACCGACACATCACTACTAAAAACTCTCCTAAAAAGGACAGTCGATATAAAGTTTTATTTTTTATTCATCTGGTGAAAACGTGTTTTACTAAGGTAGAAACTAATTAATGTAAATTTGTTTTATTTTATAAAAGACATTTTAAAATCCAAAAGGGGGATATCACTGCTCTCTACTGGTCAAGTGTTGATTCTGCAGCCAGATGTAGATGATAGATAGATAGATAGATAGATAGATAGATAGATAGATAGATAGATAGATAGATAGATAGATGATAGATAGATGATAGATAGATAGATAGATAGATAGATAGATAGATAGATAGATAGATAGATAGATGATAGATAGATGATAGATAGATAGATAGATAGATAGATAGATTAAAACATACAAAACATACAAAGTCATGATAATTGAATACAAAATCAATTAGGGGTTAGAAAATCACACTTTACATCATGTCTGTTTTTCTATATGAAATAAAATCAACATCTTTACAGAGTTTTATTTGTTCTTCCTCCAGACAAAAGCAAAGGGGTCTACTTTTCAAAAGGACGTCCTTGGAGTTCCCTGGAAGCTCGGTGGATTCAGAGGCTCCAGCTGCAGCCACAGGCCCCCCTCAGCTCGCAGGACGAGCTGGGGGAGGCGGCGTACCCCTCCAGAGCTGCTGGTTAATCCAGGGTCCACACCTGGGGTCAGACGGAACCGGAGCAGGGTCAAGGCCACCACGACTCGAAGCTCAGCCATGGCAAATTTCTGTCCGATGCAGTTCCTGTGAGCAGAACCTGATTAGTTTATTTAAAACACACCCAACGATTCTTGGTTAAGTGAGAACCCTGCACCTGGGGCCTGAGGAGAAGGGGATGAAGGCATGAGAAGAGTGATTCTGTGCATTGGTTGGGTCAAAACGCAGAGGATCAAACTCCTGGTGAAATAGTAAATCACAAGTTAAACGTGTCAAACTGGAAACAAAGATTTTACACGCATTTTTGATGCTCTTACGTGTGGGTTTGTCCAGACTGAGGGGTTGTGGTGAGTTCCATAAATGCTGACCAGACAGATGACACCTGAGGGTAAAATCAAAAAGCTAACTTTCACATTAAAACCAGAACAAAGAATCTGACTGGTCTCCTGAAGATATAGTCCTCTCACCCTCTGGAACGGTGAGGTCACCAGGCAGGACCATGTTCTGGGTGTACCTCCTCGTTACAGCCTGAACAGGTGAGTGCAGCCGCAGACTCTCTCTGATGCACATGGTGGTGAACGGCAGGTTGGACAGGTCCTCCCTGGAGATTCCATGCAACGTATCAGTGCACACACATAAGTAAAAATGTCATCTGTGAACATGAGTATGTTTTCTCTGACCACTCCATCTCATGTCCATCTCGTCCCTGAATCAGGTCCATCACCTCCTGTCTGCATTTGTCCTGATACCGAGCATGACAGGCTAAATTATACAGCGTCCAGCAGATTGCACTGGCTGTCGTGTCGTGACCTGAAACATCAAGAGGAATTGAAACAGGTACCTGGAGTTTATTTAATTCTCTTTAAACTATGTTGTGTGGTGGTGGTACAGTTGCAGTTTACACCGGAGCAACAGTTTTCAGCTCTGCTAGGACTTAGAAGACATTTTATTCTGAAGTAAAACTGTTTTATAAAATATTACATTTTTGTTTAATAAACAAATTTTCTTCAAAAAAAATCCAAAATATGTGTAAACCTGCTCAATCACCTTATGTAAACGGACGAGCGTCGTCTTTTGCGTCATCAAACAAACACAACTTAGTCTTTTCTTCAGCCTAAAGTAAAAGTAAAATATGTAATAAAATATGCTGAACATTATTAGAGGCAGAGCTTTTGTGCACTTTTGGTATAAATAATGATAGAAAATGGTTTTATTGCATCTGTTAGATTTTGACATTGTAGCCTCCGGAAATGGTCTGTTGTTTCCATCTACAGTTCACCTCTTCAGTATCGGGTCATTTGTATACATGAGTCTTAACTGGTGCTTTAATCTGCAAGAAAGATGCTGTTGCTCCGCCAAGGTCCCTCCAAGCTCACTCTTATATAAGACTGGTTTTTATTCACAGCACAAGATGGATGAACTTTCAAAATTAAATCATATAATGAACAAGATGAGTAAATAATCAAATGGTTGAATTAACAATAATGATTGAGGAATAATAACAATGTTTTGAGGTTGAAATGAATATTATTATGTTATGATCAGTAATTTTAGATTTAACAAGTGAATCACTATCTACTGACAGCTCACACACTCAGACACGTGACGATGACAAGGTTAAGCTAATATCCTGACAAATTGCTTTCTGTTCCACCAATCAGAACTCTTGTATCTGAGCGAGGCGTGTTTTCAGAGGTTTGTTGGTAAAAAACCTTTTTACATGTCAAATTCTGATTTGCTAGTAAATCAAAATATTAAGATCATTAAAACAGAGCTCACTTCACCATGAGTCATTTCTAGTTCTTGTGAGTTCTTCAGAAAGTTTCGGACCGGCCATCCGGAGCAAAACCTCTTTAACCCAGAGCACCTTTTGACAAGCTGTCAAAAACCTGTTGCATGCTGACTGCAAACGGTTCCTTCAGAACAAAGCTGAACCAACTTCAACTCCTTAAGAGTTATTCCTAAGACTCAAATAACGACTGTCATGACCTGAAGACATCCCGAGACGGTCTAGTCGGCACTGCGGTTGCTTCTACGTACTTCGGTACCTCTGAGGTCCCCGAACCACAACACATTCCGGATCTACCACGGAGGTCTTTGAGGGTATGTAGACTCGATGGATTGCGTCTAATGTGTTTTTGATAAGAACCAACTCTGTTAGTTTAATGCAGACCAAATTCACTCCCACTCAGAACTCAGTTTTTTCAGATACAAAGGTTCTGATAACATCACATTCACACGTCGTCACACCTCTCATTCCATCCACTTAGATCCATTCACCACATAAAGTGTCCTAGTGTCATGTTTTAATTGTTTACAAAATAAATTTCTTGCTTTTTATAAACTTGATTCTCTTCTTGAACTAATACGAAGTGTCTTACAATCCCTGAATAAACAAAGAATTCTAAATCTTCTGGTTAAACATTCAAAGACCAATCAGACTGGATTTCCATATTTATATAGAAATTCACATCATATTGGTCAAAGTGTAGGGTAGTATATCAAGCTTTAAAAGTACCAAAATACATACATATGTTACTCTCCTACAACATGTTATTTGTATAAATAGTAACTATGGGACCCAGTACGCATCCCTGAGGGACACCCCTGTGAATGAACAAGGTTGCCCTGGGTTGCCACAAGTACTTTAATTTACCCAGATTATATTTCTGACTAGATGTTATTTCAGAAAAAAAAACCACCTTTTCAACTTTGCATAATAAAATTCCATTACTATAAAATTTAAAATTAACTAAATATTAAAGGGAAATAAAATAAATAAACTGTTTAAAGCATTAAAGTTCTTATGATTTTAGAGATTCTTATAAACTCTTTATTTTTTCTATTTTATTCTGAAAATCCTCAATGGACATTCATCAAAACAGTCCAGGTCTTTGTCTCTTTCCTGATGCTACGGTCCAGTTTTATCATAAAAACTTTTTCTTTCTTTTATAATAAGTAGTGCTCATTGTTTCTCGTGTTGCCATCATGTTTTACTGGTGTTTCCATCTGTGATGTGCACTAAGCTGGAACGTTTTTACTGAGTTAACTCTGATTCATGCACTTATTTTACCTTGTAAAAATATTTAGCCAACTATACATAGCGGCTGGGATGAGGATCAGCACCTCCAAATCTGAGACCATGGTTCTCGACCGGGAAAGGGTGGCTTGCCAACTCCGGGTCGGGGGAGAGGTCCTACCTCAAGTGGAGGAGTTTAAGTATCTCGGGGTCTTGTTCACGAGTGAGGGTAGGAGGGATCGGGAGATCGACAAGCGGATTGGTTCGGCATCTGCAGTGATGCGGACGCTGAGCCGATCTGTCGTGGGGAAGAGGGAGCTGAGCCAGAAAGCCAGGCTCTCGATTTACCGGTCGATCTACGTCCCAATCCTCACCTATGGTCATGAGCTTTGGGTAATGACCGAAAGAACGAGATCGCGGATACAAGCGGCCGAAATGAGTTTCCTCCGTAGGGTGGCCGGGCTCAGCCTTAGAGATAGGGTGAGGAGCTCGGACATTCGGGAGGGACTCGGAGTAGAACCGCTGCTCCTCCGGATCGAAAGGAGCCAGTTGAGGTGGTTTGGGCATCTGGTCAGGATGCCTCCTGGACGCCTCCCCGGGGAGGTGTTTCGGGCATGTCCTGCCGGCAGAAGGCCCCCGGGTCGACCCAGGACACGGTGGAGAGGTTACATCTCCAATCTGGTCCGGGAACGCCTTGGGGTCCTGCCGGAGGAGCTGGTGGACAAGGCCGGGGAGAGGACGGCCTGGAGCTCCCTAGTTGGGATGCTGCCCCCGCGACCCGGACCCGGATAAGCGGAGGAAGACGACGACGACGACAACTATACATAATAAAATTAGAATAAGAGCTCAGTCACATGACCCTCTCACCTGCAAACATGAAGGTGTTGGCCTCAGCCATGATTTCTTCATCTGTTAGACCCTTTCCATCTTCATCCTGTTTAACAGGACAGAACATCTTCATCTTTTCCATAATAACCATGCATAAGCATGCATATTCATTTTTTAATACCTGTGACAGTAGTATAATATCCACAAAATCCTTCTTCCTCTGTGGTGTTTTGGTGGGATTCGTCGCTCTCTGCTGGTCGATGAGGGCTCGGCGCTTCTGGACCACTTCCCTGGTGAATCTGCACGACTCAAAAACAAAATAATCACTCAACAAAACAAACTCTTTTAGTCCAAACTTTAAATTAGAGCAGCAAACGTTTTACTTGACTGTTGAACAAAGCATTATTTCGTGTGCTATTAGTCGAATATCAGCTGTTCTGGACCTAGAACTGGTGATCAGAGGTCAAACCAGTACCGGTGCACGACACTCAGGGCCTGCTTGAACCGTTGTCCCTGCTGGGATTTCCAGTAGATCCAGTCCCATTGGTGCAGGATCCTGAAGCGGCGGTCCATCACCAGGTCACCGAGCTCCACTATGGCCGACACATACTCACTGGAAGATCTGCAGGAAGAAGAACCGAGCAAGGTTCAACAGCAGTCATTGCAGAACCTTTGGTCAAGTTTTAACCTTCAGGGTTAGGTTTGGTTTTTACAAGTTATTATGGGATGTAGATGAAAAAGTGCAGTTCTCACTCCTGACAGTTGCTTCTGTAGCTGAAAGCACATTTCAGTAAACTGTCCAGGGTCATCAGAGTGACGTGGTTGAACATCTCAATGTTGGTTGTTCCTTCTGACAGCAGGCGACGCCACTTACTCTGGGAACAGGACACACACACAAACAAACAAACAAACAAACAAACAAAGACAGTAAAACAAGGAAGATCCCGGTTTCTGGTCCAAATTCTCATTCTTCACTCTTTCAGTGCTTGAGTTTAAAATAAACATATTTAAAGTGGTGTGTGTGTGTGTGTGTGTGTGTGTGTGTGTGCGCGCGCGCGCATGCGCGCGCCAGAGTGTTTCCTACATGCATGGTGTTGGTGGACGAGTTAAATGTCAAGACATAGTTTTTCAGAACATCAAAATGAAAAGCTGGAGTCAGCAGTCGTCTCCTGCGAGACCACGCCTCCCCGTTGCTTAGCAACAGACTTTGTCCTGAGAAAAGAGCAACAGATCATCTTTATTCTGACCCTCACAGGGTGATTAGTAACAAAACCAGGGCTAGCTAAACGTTAGCTTGGACTCACCCAGCCACGGACGCAGAGGGCCGTAGATGAGCTCGTCCTTCACCGTGATGTTGGCTTAAAGAAGGAAGGTGATGAAACATCAGTTTCTGCTGAGTCTGGTCTCGTTTCTGCTGCTTTGACTTGCTTCATCCTACCTGATGCCATCAGCAGAGGTTTGACGTACTCTGGATGGAAGGTTCTGACCAGGTGGTAAAAAGGACCCAGGAACCAGCAGCATGAGTGTTTGAAGGTCTGCACCAGGTCATCCACCAGCTGGAGACCTTCTTCTGTGCTCTGCATCTGAAGAAAAATGTTACCAGTTCCCCACTGTGCTCATCAAGGCCAGATGATGAATGAAACGGCACAATTACCATACCTGGCCCAGGTGTCCCAACAGCCACGAGTGTGTTTGTGGCTTGTTGAAGCAGGACAGCTTGTGAGTGTACCAAGCATGACGCGCCAGCAGCCTCACCGTCCACAACACAACCAGAGCCACCAGTCCCTGCAGGATGAGACAGATCCCCGACCAGCTGAAGACCTGAGCGAGGACGCTGTGGAGCAGAGGCATCTTGGGTTACATTAAGCCTTGTCTTGTTCTGATCTGGATCTTTCAGAGAGAAACCAAACTGTTCCACACAGAACTTCCGTTATTTCAAAACTAACCACAGCTGGAGCAATTCTTACGACATTCCTTTGTGTAAAATACACAGGCACTTCCACATCTGTACTTGTTATATTTTAATGTTGATGACGACTCAACGGAGAAGAACAAAGCAAGCAAAAGAGAACAGTGTGGCAGAGAAAAGGATCATCTAAACCTCGATATATGGTTGTAACACAAACAGTGAAGAGCTGATTTTTGAAAATCCCAACAGCATCATTTGTTCTAACTTATCTGAAGCAACTATAAATATATGATAAGTTTACTGTCAGACTTAAAGTCCATTTTAAAAGAAACATACAGATAAAAGAAAAAGATACAAGAAAAACACAAGAAAAGAAAGGATACCGATTAACATCAATACCAATGAAAGCCTATATAAAATCACAAGATATAACTGCAGTGGAGGTAAGGGACAACAAAACTAACTAGTTGAGATAAATCCACCCAAACATTTTAACCAGCGCATTCTCAGCCTAGACATATAACGAGAGCAGCTCACAGTGGGATTTGAGAGTGCAACTATAATACTATTGGAAGATTCTTCCAGCCGTCTCATAAACTTGAACATTAAATTTCTTAGAAGTACCTTAAATGTGCACACTCTCACCGAAACAAACATTTGACTAGCACTGCCTCCCCTGGGAATTTTGAGGAGGATTCTCATTGCATCACTGTGTGCCACTTGTAACCTGTGCAAGCTAGACTTTTTATAGGATGACCACAGATGTGCAGTATATAGTGGTGTGCAGTATGCTTTAAATAATGCCACTTTAACAGGTGTGGAACAACAGCTGAATTTCCGTGCAATGGTGTTTGCTTGCACATATAGCTTGCAGGACTGCCTGTAAATATCATCATCGTCGCTCATATTGGCTGTGATAAATCATATCACAATCATTTTAAATCATATTCCATTCCATACCCAGCACTAACATCTAGGAGCTGCTGCAGTCCTGCACTACTTGGACTAAACACTACGAGGTCATCCGCATACATAAGGTGATCAATCAAAACATCACCCATCAAACAGCCTGTGTTACAAGTTCTCAGACGCCCAGATAGCTCATCAACATATAAGTTAAACAAAAAAGGAGATAAATTTCCACCCTGCCTTACCCCACTGGACACACTAAAGGGATCAGAAATACTCCCACCCCATTTAACACGCATCTTCTGGTGGGCATACCAATAGGCAAGCACTCTCACAACACCTCCAGGCACTCCCCTTTGCTTTAATTTAGTAAAAATCTTTTTATGATTCACTCGATCAAACGCTTTGGAGACATCAATAAAACTCAAGAGAATAGTAGAATTTTTTGACCTATATAGATTCACTGTTTCCTTAAGAGCATAGATACACATGTCTGTACCATGTTTGGACTTAAAACCAAACTGATTATCAGAGGAAAATAAATACTCACTTACTCTATGCAAGAGGATTCTTTCCATGACCTTAGATAAAACACTAGTCAATGCAATGGGTCTATAGTTGTCTAGGCAACCAACTTTTCCTTAATACCTGGAACAAGCAATGTGGTCATCATTGTATTAGGAAGTATGCCGTGAGACATGAATCCAGTAAAACAGATTGCTAATAAAGGAGCAAGCCTGGGACTAGCATATTTCAAATGCTCTGCTGTGACTGAATCCATGCCACATGCTTTACTGTTAGGTAATTTCTGCACAGCATCATATACCTCATGTGACAAAATATTTATGGACTCATCTCTAATGACAGAATCTACTACATATGGGTCATTATTTAAGCAATTATAGAGGGAGCTATAGTGCTGTCTCCATAGCTCTGCAATCATTACCTCTCCAGAAAGTCCTCCAACTGTATAAGGAAGGAGACGTTTACGGTTATTCAGAGACCTCACCTCTTTCCAAAAGCCAGAGAAATTGTTTCCCATTAGTTTTTTTGCCAAAGAGTCAGCTCTTATAGCTTGCTCATTCCTAGATATGAAACGAACAGCATGCTTATATCTAGCTTTAGCTCGCTTTTTATTTTCTAGCTCAGGACCCTGCCTAGGTCGTCCAGCTAGGACCCATAGTCTATAAGTTTCACTAGCCTCTGCATGATACGAGGCTACATGCTCATTCCATCCAGGTCTCCTGCTATGCTTTTGGCTGCATCCATGCTGTTTATGGTAAGGTTTGCCTCCCTCAATCAGAGCTGCCACAATATCATCATACATAGTGCTGAGGCTACGCTTGTGCTTCTCATCTAGACAGTGAACATCATTACAGTAAATAGCTTCTCTATGTAAATAAACATTTTTAGATATTGGTCTTTACTTGAAGGTCATAAAATCCTCTTTATTGAGAGTTGACCACCTCACATTTGCAGAGCCGGTGCTAACAGAAGCTTTGTTATACCCAACGGATGCGGGCAGCTTATCGAGATTTATAATAAAATCTAGGGGTATATGGTCAGTTAATGCATAACTTTACTTAACACACATATTCCCCAGAGCTGCATGTCCATCAGCAGTGCTGAAACAATGGTCAAGCCATGATGTGGTATGCCAAGCTTCACTAATGTACGTATAAGTGTCCACAGGTTGTTCTCTGCACAAAATTGGGTAAGATGGTTAGCAAATAAAGAACTATTGTCAACAATATCTGCGTTCATACCCCCTACAACATAAACACTATAAGTACCACTGTCCTGTATAAAAGCATTGATAAAAGCCAACCTATTAAGAAATTCTTCCTCATTCTCCCGAGATTCATAAGGAGTATAAATATTTAAAATAATAAAAGTATTACATTTATAAGTATATTGTATACCAATACATCAGTCCACATCAAGCCTGACAGGCTTAATCATATCATCAAGCCTTTTATCCCAGAGCACAGTGACTGGAATTCTGCCTCTGACTGTGGACCATAGCTGTGGACATACTAAGATCAGTCGTTGATTCTCCCACTCCAAAAAAAATTATCATTGAGTGTTCAGCTTTTCAAGATCCTGCTTAGCCATAAAAGTTTCTTGTAAACATAATATGTCACATTCTGTCAGCAAACTGTCCACCACAGAGCGTCGAGCTTGATCACCAGCACCCAGACCCAGATACAGCCCACGACAGTTGTAGGACAAAACCCTGTGACATATTCAAGCTGACACAGAGTCACTGGATGGCACATTTACCTCCTTATCGGGAGGCACGGTACTGGAGTTAACAACTGCAATAGTGGCCTTACGTGGCTCAAAATATCACCGAACTACAGCCCCTTCAGGCCACAGCTCAGGAGCGTACATTTCCCCAACATCATTACATTCAGCCGTTACTCTAAATGAGCCAACGCTGCTGCGTGGATTATTATTTTTCTGACATGTGACAACTCTGTGGAGTTTATTATTTACTGACATCTCCTCAAGTTGTTTTTAATGTGTCTGGTGCATCATCTAACTAGCCATGCCACTGATGCATTTCAACTGTTGGTTAATTTTATTTAGTTATGTAATTTTAATCACAAAAATATAAATTCTTGTTCACACGTGGTTTTGCTGTGTGCACACTTCAAGTCTTCAGGATTTCGTGAAGTTACTGAAAGGTTATCTTATTGGAAAAACTGAAAAGAAAGCAAAACAAATCATAAACTTGGGCAGATGTTTGATTCAAATAGCTACAGTTTTGTTTTAAGGAAATCATCGAAGAAACAAAAGTATTTTTGTCGTTTTGACTAAGAATATCTCATTTTACAAGCCGCTCTTCAAGGCCACACTGATTGGCTCGCGCTGCACCTGCGAGACTAAAAGCTGAAAAAATTATAGAAAAGTTGGTAAATCAGTGAAATTCGAGTTTAGACATTCATTCGAGTCTAAAACCGGAAACCAGCAACATAAATAACACATTTAGGGGCAAAGTTTCCGTCTTCAGGTAAGTTTTATTTGGTTTTATCTGTGACGTAAGCTCTATCTTTCTTTTTATGTTGTTAGCTAATTAGTTTATTACCCAGATGAGCTATAGCTGTTAGCTTAGATGTAAACAGCTGCTTCTCGATCAGCTGCCCATCCTTTCATGGATTTATTTGGTCAGAATTGTTGAGTTGTATACAAAATATAATTGTTTCTATCAAAATCAGTACAAATCCTTCGTTTTAGTGTGACATTAGAAATAAATTACGTAAGGGACATTTTTAACCAAAACTCCTGTTTATGCTCTTATTCATACAGCTGGATTACTATTGTTGTTTTTAAAATAATCTATAACCTGCTGACTAAAACAGTTTTTAATCAGATTCCTTTTGAAACCTGGTGACAAAAGATGTTTTCTGTATTTTTCCATTGAGGCTAATGGCATGAGACTAGATTTGATATATTGCGTAATTACTAGAACAGGCTTCATTTTTTTGGCAACAAATTAAAAATTTCTCTCTTATATTCTTGACGATCTAGATGATGCATATTTTGTTACGTACAAAGTTTTTTATATAATTTATAAACACAATTGTACAAACCTTTAACCATTTGACTCACTCATACTTTTGTTTTCATAAATATTTTGTCTCATGAAGCTAATTTCTGCCCAAATCTGAGTTTGAAATAAAATCTCCAGCTGTGAGGGAGATGTTACATTTATTTTCAGGAGTTAATTGTTAGGTTTATTCATAGGTTTGGTGAAGTCAGCCTGATCTTTAAATAATAGTTTTCTGAAGACATTTTTGCAGTTACTAAAACCGTAAATAGAAAGTTTTCTTGTGTCGAACAGGAGTCGTGGTAATTCTTTGAACTTTTTTTCAGGTTTAACTTTTGTAAAAGTGATATGTCTGAAGCATCTGATGGTCATACCAACCACGGAGGAGCTGTTACTCCTCCTTCCTGCTCCACTCCGTTATCTTGTCACCGCAGCTTAACCCGATCATGGCTGTTGGTTGGATCTCCACTTGGGCCTTCTTCCAGTGGTTGTCGCATAAATCCAGATGAGGGCTCTGGGGACCATCTCACTGAGATGTGGTTAAACAATCCACCATCTGGTCTGTATGAAGAGCTGTTTTGTACCAGCCAAGTTTCCATCCCTCTGGTGCCTCTGGCGGGTGCTTTGATGGTCTCCTCCAGACCAATGAGTGATGTGGTGAAAGAAGGTTATCTGGGGAAGCTGGAGCGGAGCAACAGGAGATACTTTGTCTTAAGAGCAGGAAGTCACACCGGGCCGAGCCGACTGGAGTGGTACAAGAGCCAGGAGAAGTTCACAGTGATGGAGAAGTCTGCGAGGAAAGCTGGATTGTGTGGGTCTAACAAGCAGGGGTTGGTAACACTTGTTCGGTCACTCTGAGTTGAAAGTGCATTCTGAACATGAAACTTTTCTTAAACCCACATCGCCTGCATTAGCTAAGGTGTGCAGAGCGTCTCAGCTAGTAGAAGCTAGCCGTTAGCAATTCCAACATGGCAGAACCCGTTCAGGCTTGTGTTATCTGTGGAGATAAAACATCAATGTTGCAGTTTTACCCAAGAAGAAACTGAGGCAGCAGAGGAGTTGTGTTGCTGTTAGCCAATCAGAGGAGAGGTTGTTTGCATATCATCAATATTAATGAGCAAGCCCCCCCCCCCCCCAACCAGACAACAACTCATTCGTGGACTCTTGACACCACAGCAGGTTTAGTGAAGGAGAGTTTTAGGTAAAGATTTAAATAAGACTAAATGAGTTGATTACTAAATTTGGGCTCATTCTTGTGATGCTGCACACAAAAACACTTTGTTACGTTATGATTTTTGTTGTGTGTGTGTGTGTGTATTAATGGCACATGGTTTTGTTTCAACAGTTTTTACAAGTTTCACATGCATGAGTTTGTGTAACATAATAATAATAATAATAATAAAGAAATAAAGTTAAGGTCTTCCATTTGTATTTCTTCCTTCTAGGGTCATTTACCTTCGCTGCTGTCTTGGTGTGAGTCGGATCGGCAGTTCCCGTAAAGGCCACACGTTAGCGCTGTACGACAAGGATCAGACTCTGGTGCTGCTGATGGAGGACCAAGAGCAACAGGAAGAATGGTATGCAGCCATTAAGAGCCTGGTTGAGGAGGAGCAGAAGGATGAAGAGCATGCAGAAGGGGTTGATGAAGACGATGGGTATTGCACTCTGCCGCCTGCAGCTTTCTTCAAAGAGGTAGGATGAGACTTTCTTTTACCATTTAGTATAAAAGAAAAGGATTTAAAGCATCATCTGGAGTATTTTTTTTATCCAACGGCACCATCTAGAGCAGGGGTGCCCAATCCCGGTCCTGGAGGGCCGGTATCCAGCAGTTGTGTCCTTGAGCAAGACACTTACCCGACTTGCCTGCTATTGGCGGTCAGAGAGATCGGAGAATTAGCTGTGGCTACAATGTAGCTCATCACCACCAGAGGGTGAATGGGTGACTAAAGCGCTAGTCCTGAATCAGAAAGGTGCTTCAGTACTGATAACTGACCGTGAACGCTGTGACTCCTGATATCAGCAGGCTCTGTTTTTATTTGCAGCTGATCAGATACCGATCGCATGGGTCGGCTGTTGTTTTTTATGTAGTTATGAGTTCTACTGGTACATGGTTTGGAAAAAAGGAACAATAACATCTTAATTCATATTAAAACATACTTTTACCTTTTCAAGAGGAAAAAGTACCTCTTAAAGGCACAATCAGTGGGTTTTTTCAGACCACAGAGTCCTCACAACCCAAGTTACACCTGCCATTACTCCCAAGTGTTTCTTCTCCAAAGAGCAAGTCGCCCCCAAGTCAACAATTTTAGGCAATTAACTCTATAAACGAGTCTCTAATAGTGCTGTAGACACATGTAGATAGTAATTTGGCACTTTAGTGCATCTTAGTGAAAAATTAAATATTCTGTCTAAAACTGTCAGTGTTGCGCCCTCTTCAGGTAAAAATTCAGCACTGCATTTGAATTTAAATCTACCCTCGTTTATTGGCTAAGAGGTACACTATTACATTAGCTGCTACCATATGATGTCACAACATCGCTGTGACCCTGTGTGTGTAGTTACTGGCTCCGCCCTCTCGGTCTGCCTGTCAACATCTCCTTCTGGCACATTTTTTAAACAGGAAATGGGGGTGGAGTAAGACTCTGGTAGGGGGTGAATTGCTCTTTAAAGGTGAACGGCCTTTAACCCTTCCTGAGATGGCTGTGGAAAGAACATGGCTGAGTGGGGGCGGGTTGTCTCCACCCGGCCCAAACCAAACCGACCCAAGTGTAGATGAGCCTTAAAACATGCAGGATGTGGCCCTCTAAGCTCATTGGTTGGACAGGAGGCAGGATTTATGAAAATAAGTATCGCGAATAATATTTTTCCTGGATGTGTAAATACTGCCGCTGCATTTGACTCAGACTTCTGTGGCCTTGATCCAAGGTTTGGTCTGTCATGGTGAAGCCCAGAGGTCTGGGCAGCTCCAAACACTTCACAGGGGAGATCAGGCTCTGCCTCACAGCGACGGCTCTTGTTTTGGTCCGATTGGGTGCTACTAATGACTTCCCATCAGTTACGATACCTTTACTGAGCGTTCGCCGCTTTGGACATTTGGATGGCCTTTTCTTTATGGAGCTCGGCAGGTCGGCACCCAACGGTCCTGGAGAGATCTGGATGGAGGCAAGAGAAGAGGGTGATTATGCATTTGAAAGATAGATTTAAAATGATATCAGGTGTAATCTCACACTAACAAGGACACGTGGCTTTATTTTCCTTAGCAGGAGATGCAGCGGTGGCTCAGCACATTCACGAGGCAGTCAGAGGAGCAGTCCAAGCTCTACGAGCTCTCCCAGACTTCAGCAGGTCTCCAACCTCCAGTCACCATCAACAGCCCGGCCTTCTGGCCTCAAAACGCTGCCGACCCAAATACAGAGACAAGTCGGTTCATCCAAGACCTCTCACTAGTCAGACCAGTCCTGCACAAAGTCCTCGAAGACCTCCCAAACCCGATGACACAAAATCTGAGTCCTGCTTGAGCTTCACCTCTTTCATCAGTCCTCCTAGACTCCAGCGGGGTTCTGAGCCCGACAGATTTCTAGGGTCAAAAACCGACCTCTGTGGAGACGCAGCCAGTAGGATGCAGAGATGGGAGTCGGTGGAGAAGGGGGAAGGGTTGGGGTACATGCTCATGTCTCCTCAGGTCAGCCACAGTTTATCAGAGTTGGTTCAGGAGGATTATGTTGTCATGGAGAGTCCACAGAAACCCCACCGGCCAACACAATCCTTCTCCTCCTCCTCATCTTCCTCCTCCCTTCAGACATCATTCAGCAGGTATGCCGTTTATCTAGCCAGCGCTAACAGAGCAGAATAAATGACATGCTAACTGTGATAGAAATATTTAGGAGAGTTTTGAACTGGCGCTTGTGTAAAATAACTTGTTGTTGCAGCTCCACCTTTGATGGCTGCTCCCCTCCATATCCATCACAGCATCAAGACCGTCAGCCCAGCTGGCGTCTGACTTGTGTCCAGCAGTCGGAAACAGAAAAGGACCCGTCAGAGACCAGCTGTTCTGCTGAATCCCAGGATGATGCCAAAGAGAAGCAAAACTCTGCTCAGATGAAAGAAGAGCACGGAGGCTCAGCTCTAACTGCTCCTTTTGACTTGATTGGATCAGGCAGCACAAGGCCTCCACAGTATCGTCCAAACTGTGATGGAAGTCGGTCCAGTCATCTCCAAGCTGTACAAGAGCTGTCTCCGATAAGAAGATACTGGCCGTCAATGTGTCTCCTGGCTTGTCTTCATGTGGAGGACAACTCTTGAACAATCGTAGTAAAAAATCACTTCAAGAACTAAAGTAGAACAGCTTATTTTCCCATGGATGAAGAGAATTCACAAGATGTTCCAGAACATTTTTTTCTTCACTTCAGCTGAAGAATAAGAACTAAGAAAAGTAACAAATGTCCCAAGAAACATTAAAAATAAAGAAGTTTGAATATTAAGTTAATAAAAAAACTGCAGAAGAATTGAGTTGTTTGATGTTCAGATCTTAATGTTACTGTTTCAGATGTGGAAGGAGAATAAAGAGAGCGGTTGTGCTGAAGCGGTGTGGTTTAATATGATTAAGTGAAAACGGCACACCTGCTGGCTAATAGGAGTGTAGAACCTTACAGCATTCACCTGTTTTATCCTGAATACTTGGCCAACTTATTCATTTAACTTTGGTTAAATGTCTTATTCTAACACTTTGCTGTGTTCAAAATGGAGATTAAAGATTTAGGTAAATTCAGAGTTGGACTGATGAGGTTCAGAAATGTTGTGTGAGGTCACCATTAGTGCCATTATAAAATGAAAAAGCATTAGAAAACGTCTAAATATCGGGTGTGAAAATTAGCCTAAAACAATCAGTGTACCGTACCTCTACAAATTGGTATTGGTGTCAGCGTTAGAAAAGCTCATTGGTGGATCTCTAGTCTATAAACAGGTTAATCAGAATATTCTAGACTACATCATCAGCTGCCTTCATGCTGACCAACAACCTGTGATCAGTTTTCTTTTGTGTTTTTAATTATGTTAGTCATCCGTTAAACACCAACACCCTAATCATCCTCGTGAAAAATGACCTGCTCACATTTCCTTACTTTTTCTCCCTGTGAGAAAAACTCTAGAAAGAAACTGAGCTGCTGCTCACCATCTCAAACTGGAGTTGAAGGAAAGCTGCAGTTTGAAGAAAGCAAACATGTAAGCAACCTCTCCTCCATCTGTTCCGTCACCTGACAAAAATGTTTCTATGACAACTGAGCAGTGGGACGATGTGGGACGCAGCAACCATAGATGATAATGGTTCAGTTCTAGTCAGAAAATTCAGGTCTGTTTAATTCACCAACAACATGGATGCTTAAAATCAGCTCCTCTATTTTATTAGTTTTTCTTTGCCATGGCCTTCTCTAGCCTCATGGACTCTTTCATCTTTACCCAACATGTTTCTGGCCCTACACACACCGGGGGACACACCCCAGAGCTTGTTTTTACCCTGGGTCTAAATGCTGACTCCGTTTGTCCTGAGGACATTTATATGTCAGATCACCATTGCATTTTCTTTAACTTGTCAGTTTCTGCGTCCCCACCTTCTGCTCATCGTTTGGTTAGTTCTTATTTTCTTAATGAGAGCACAGCTAGCAATTTTTCTGCTCCTTTCAACCCATCTTTATCTTCTGATGATGACCCAGACTCCTTAACTACTCACTTTAACGAGCACTGCCTCTCCATCCTGGACAACATCTATCCTGTCAGAACCAGATCAGTTCCTGCAGTGAACCCTACTCCCTGGTTTAATGACAGCATTTGCAGACTGAAGCTCCAATGTGGAAGAAACCCTGTCTCCATGTCCATCTGCTGCATCTAAAGGATCATCTGACATCCTGCAGTCAGAGATGTGAGGGTTGCCTATTTTTCCATCCTGATGACCCAGAGCACAGGGAATCCCAAGATACTGATGCACTTGCATCTGAAGACATGCAGGAATCTGTTTATCACAGTAAATCAGAGTGTAGCAATCTGAGATTCAATTATGTTGGCTTTTATGCACTTTTTCTAATCCAGTATATTGACTGTCATTAGTTGAAAGATTGTATTTTATTTTAAATAAATTGTTATTTTTGTTGTTGGCCTGTGGAAAAAGCATTTATATTCAATAAGAACTTGAAAGGCTACAGAGGCACAACAAGAAACAAACACCACTGCTGTGAGTTTTATTTCAAAGATATTTCCTGTTTCAATCAATCAGACTTTATTTATTAAGCACTTTTCTAGCAAAGTGTGACTCAAAAGTGCTTTACAGAATTAAAATGACCCCAAATTCCCATAACAGTTTGAAAACATTAACAGACACACACACCAGTAAAAATGTATATTCGGCTGAGTCAAGATGAGCCAAGTAAAGGAAACGCCATCAGAGGAGCCGTCTGCCCTGGCAGCATCAGGCCTTCCACACTAAGTCAGGACGCTCAGCGGCGGCAGGGCATAAACCCCCACCTCCACTCAAACACTACCTGTAGAGCGCCCAGGAAGCAACAGTCGACCACCGACCCTGGGGCAGAGGGCCCCTACAGAGAAAACACTGGATTTAAATGAGTAAAAATATGAAAATTAAAGAGCTAATATAAATGACAAAAGTAAGAAAATAAATAAGTAAAATCATATATACAGTAAAATAATATTAAATAATGAAAATGTGCTAAAATAGTCATAAAACATGCAAAGCCAGTAATAAAATATAATCGTAAAACAAGAAATAAAACAGTAGTAAATAATTAGATAAAAGCTAACCTAAATAGGTGGGTCATGAGCCTGGACTTAAAAACAAACGTTCTCCACGGCCCTGAGGTTCTCCGGCAGATCGTTCCAAAGGCGAGGGCCATAATATTGAAAGGACGCCTCACCGTGAGTGTGTGTCCTGACTTTAGGGATGACCAGGAGACGCCTGCCAGAGGAGCGCAGAGGCCGTGAGGGTTCATATGGTAAAAAGCAGTTCTGAGAGAAAAGACCATTAAGACGCTTAATGTCTTATTGTTTAATGGGTCTATTAACTTGGTTATTTCAGATTCACTGTTTATGTAAAACTAAAGTTTGTTTCCATATGAAATGGTTAAACAATAAAGGAAAACAGATGTAGTCAATTTCTCATAAATATTGGGTTTTACAGGTGCTGGCCAGTAAATTAGAATATCATCAAAAGGTTGAAAATATTTCAGTAATTCCATTCAAAACGTGAAACTTGTACATTATATTCATGCAATGCACACAGACCAATGTATTTCCGATGTTTATTACGTTTAATTTTGATATTTATAGGTGACAACCAATGAAAACATCAAATCTGGTATCTCAGAAAATTAGAATATTCTAAAGGCCAATGAAAAAATGTTTGTTTCTCTAATGTTGGCCAACTGAAAAGAATGAACATGAAAAGAATGTGCATGTATAGCACTCAATACTTAGTCGGGGCTCCTTTTGCCTCAATAACTGCAGTAATGCGGCGTGGCATGGACTCGATCAGTCTGTGGCACTGCTCAGGTGTTATGAGAGCCCAGGTTGCTCTGATAGTCGTCTTCAGCTCCTCTGCATTGTTGGGTCTAGCGTATTGCATCCTCCGCTTCACAATACCCCATAGATTTTCTATGGGGTTAAGGTCAGGCGAGTTTGCTGGTCAATCAAGGACAGGGATACCATGGTCCTTGAACCAGGTGCTGGTGGTTTTGGCACTGTGTGCAGGTGCCAAGTCCTGTTGAAAGGTGAAGTCTGCATCCCCATAAAGTTGGTCAGCAGCAGGAAGCATGAAGTGCTCTAAAACTTCCTGGTAGACGGCTGCATTGACCCTGGACCTCAGGAAACAGAGTGGGCCAACACCGGCAGATGACATGGCACCCCACACCATCACTGACGGTGGAAACTTTACACTGGACCTCATGCAACGTGGATTCTGTGCTTCTCCGCTCTTCCTCCAGACTCTGGGTCCTTGATTTCCAAAGGAAATGCAGAACTTGCTTTCATCAGAAAACATAACTTTGGACCACTCAGCATCAGTCCAGTCCTTTTTGTCCTTGGCCCAGGCGAGACGCTTCTTGCGCTGTTTCATGTTCAAGAGTGGCTTGACACACGGAATGCGACACCTGAATCCCATGTCTTTCATGAGTCTCCTCGTGGTGGTTCTTGAAGCGCTGACTCCAGCTGCAGTCCACTCTTTGTGGATCTCCCCCACATTTTTGAATGGGTTTGTCGTCACAATTCTCTGCAGGGTGCGGTTATCCCTAGAGCTTGTACACTTTTTTCTACCACATTTTTTCCGTCCCTTCGCCTGTCTGTTAATGTGCTTGGACACAGAGCTCTGCGAACAGCCAGCTTCTTTAGCAATCACCTTTTGTGTCTTGCCCTCCTTGTGCAAGGTGTCAATGATTGTCTTTTGGACAGCTGTTAAGTCAGAAGTCTTCCCCATGATTGTGGTGCCTTCAAAACAAGACTGAGGGACCTTTTAAAGGCCTTTGCAGGTGTTTTGAGTAAATCAGCTGATTAGAGTGGCAGCAGGTGTCTTCTATATTCAGCCTTTTCAGAATATTCTAATTTTTTGAGATACCAAATTTGGAGTTTTCATTAGTTGTCACTTATGAATATCAAATTTAAATGTAATGAACATTGGAAATACATTGGTCTGTGTGCATTGCATGAATATAATGTACAAGTTTCACGTTTTGAATGGAATTACTGAAATATTTTCAACCTTTTGATGATATTCTAATTTACTGGCCAGCACCTGTATACACGACTTCACCTCAGTTTTTCATTCTGGGCCTGGTTTAGAGGGAGAGCTGTGCACACTCCTGCCGGTAGGTGGCGGTAATACACCTCACGTTGTTACCAACTCTAAAGCTCCAAAATCAGGTGATGGGTCAGAAAAGCTTTTCTGTAGACTTCCTGCCCTCTGGATCTGCTGCTGTTCCTTTGGCCTGTCTGAGAAACGTGCTCGTTTTGCTGCTTTCATCAGATTGAAGAGATTCCCTCTATCAGACTCGCTCATCTGAGTTGGTCATGATGCAGGATGGCTGCTCGCTCTCTGATCCATCCTGCTCACACACTCCAACGGAAAAGCCCCGAATCTGAATGTGACTGGAGGAAAAAGCGGTTAGCTCTACTCCGTGAACTCTGGTGACCAAAGGTCCTCTTTTCCAGACCGGATCTTGATTCATTTGTTAAAGAAGATTCATCAGTTAAATTTTTTGTTAAACTAATAAAAGTCTTTGTTGACTAAAACAGACTAAAATGCATTTTCGTCATAAAGACTAAAACTAAGATGCCCGCCACCAACTCTGTGACAAAAAGTGAGTGCACGGTACGTGTGATCTTAAGTTGATAATAGCGAGTTGATCAGTAAACAGCACAAGTGATCCTGACCATTCTGCTCAGTCTCTGGACTTTTTGTCAGACTCTCAACCAGGAAATGGCAGCAGGGTGTAAGCTCTGGAACAATCAGCAACTCCACCCCCTAGCCAATCAGTGACCAACAGTTGTTGACGTTGCGTTTCTGGACTGGGTTAGCAGACTAGGAACCTTAAAATGAAGCAGAGATACTGAAAAGTTCAGGGAAAGTTGGGAGAAAATACAGAACCTTGTTGGTGGAAAAGGCTGTCAAACTCAACCACATCCATCCGAATCACGCAGAGTAGTTCTGGTGGAAAAGAAGTTTATCAGACCACGGGGACAAACCGTCCACTTTTTAAAGAGCTCAGAATTATTTATTTACTCACATCAGATTAGACACAAACAACCAATGGGTTTCACATCTTCCCCATAGAATGGGATTGGCTAAAGCCGGCCTGACACATAAAACGCTGAGGAGGCCAGCTCGCCAAGTGGGTGGGACTTAACATAGGGTATTAAAATGTGTGAGGAGATTCAGGGCCCTTTTGACTGATGGCCATCATGTGGTTCAGATGTGTGTTATTTTTGTACCATTGTTTCTATTTTTTACGGAGACAGTGACTGTAGTGGTAGCAGATCTTCTGAGTTGGATGTTAAGACAGTCAACAAATCCTGTAGCTGCCCTGAGTGTGGTAAAGGGCTTCTCAACAAGGGGTCTCTCCAGAAGCATGGGAGAGTGATGAATCGTTCAACAAAAAAATCTTCTGGCTGTTTGGTTAAAAAGAAATGTGTTCGAGTCAAGCAACTTGTAGATTCACACAGGAAAGTCCAGAAAGAACCAAAATCGTTTAGTTGTGAGGACTGTGGAAAATGTTTACTCGTAAAATAAGTTTAAAAGATCACATGAGAGCACACAGGACAGAAACCTTTTGCCTGTGAACACTGTGGCCAAAAATATAGCAAAAAGACTAATTTAAACAGACACATGAGAGTCCACACAGGACAGACTGAGACTGAGCGGGATTTCAACCCTTCGGTTATGAGACGAGCACTTAAATGGTCTGCCACCGTCAACCCCAAAGAAACCTTTTCCATATTCAATTCAATTCAAGTTTATTTATATAGCGCCAAATCACGACAAGAGTCGTCTCAAGGCACTTCACATAATAAACATATAAATTAGGTAACTATTTTGGCATTTATTTCATCAAAATATAAATGAGTGATTCACTTGTTTAATCAAAACATTTTCAGTGCTCTTTGGTAGGAATTAATGCCTTGCAGGCTGTACTTGGGGCAAAAGCTGCAGTTTCTATTTCTGACCCAACTCTGTACCCAAGCTGCTCAAATGCTCTCCATGTTCAGCAGCACAGAACCACGTGAGCAACAGTTCACTTTGATGAAGATGAACTAAACAACACAGGAATCTCACTGATGAACACCTTCCTCAGCTCACAGCCTAACCTGGTTTAGAGGAGAGCTGTTCGACTTCACCCCGGTAGGTGGCGGTAATGCACCTTACGTTACCATAGACTGTACATACGGTTGTTACCAACCATTTAAAAACAGCAGAAGAAGAAATCCGGAAGCTGCTAGCAGAGTTAGCTTGTTGTTCTCGTGTATGAGGAGAATATTTGAGGCGCTACAGTAAAAATGTCTTCACTTCAGTCTCTGGGAGAGTTGATCACATAAAGCGACTAACTGCTGCTGCAGAAATCTTCTCACCAGACTGTGGAAACATTCTTCTCAACAACTTGGTGGAGTTCTTTCCAAAACCAGAGAAGATATTCTGCGGTCTTCGTGACAATCGGAGCTCCAAAAGCAGGTGATGGGTCAGAAAAGCTTTTCTCTAGACTTCCTGCCCTCTGGATCTGCTGCTGTTCCTTTGGCCTCTCTGAGAAACGCGCTCGTTTTGCTGCTTTCATCAGATTGAAGAGGTTCCCTCTGAGTTGGCCATGATGCAGGATCGCTGCTCGCTCTCTGATCCATCCTGCTCACACTCTCCGACGGAAAAGCCCCGAATCTGAATGTGACTCTGGAAGAAAAAGCGGTTAGCTCTACTCCGTGAACTCTTGTGACCAAAGGTCCTCTTTTCCAGACCGGATCTGTCCTCAGCTGATCAGAACCAAAGCGTTGGATCTTTCTGCGTTGTTCTGAAGCAGCATCTTACTCGGCTCTCCTGCTTTGTTTCTATTGCAGCTGTTAGCTAAACACGGCTAAAGAAAACCTGCTACCACTTCAGGATCATCCATCAGCTGGGACTGCTTCATCTTGTTTACTTCACCATCTGGATCTGGACAGCATGGATACAGGTGTGTGTGTGTGTGTGTGTGTGTGTGTGTGTGTGTGTGTGTGTGTGTGTGTGTGTGTGTGTGTGTGTGTGTGTGTGTGTGTGTGTGTGTGTGTGTGTGTGTGTGTGTGTGTGTGTGTGTGTGTGTGTGTGTGTGTGTGTGTGTGTGTGTGTGTGTGTGTGTGTGTGTGTGTGTGTGTGTAAAGCTTTAACACAATTAGACATGTTTATCAGTGTTTAGATCAGTGATGACAGCAGATCACACTGAGCCTTCTGAGGTAGACACATTTATTATCTAAATCCACTTTTCTCCAAAACACTTTCATAACTTTTGTTTCTGGGTTAAAACACCTAGAGTTCTCACTTCAGTCCATGGTACTGGTATTTACATAAATTACAAAAGGTAAACTTTGATAATATTGTTTGTTTTACTTCATGTTCTCCTTTGTTTCTTTCCCCTTCTTTGACCCTCAGTGCTGGGGTCTGAGAGATTCAATTAAAAAAAAATCCATTTTTATCATTTCCAAAAAGGAAAAGCTCGTTCTGTTTTCTAGACCACGAAGAGGAAAGATTCTGGTCAGCTCATGCGGATAGAATAATCTACTGCAACTGCACAAATAGGTCAGCAGGGGTCGCTATACTCCTGAATAATCCACCTGGAAAGATCCTAGGACCTTCCAAGGATGCTTGGAAAAATTTGTGTTTTTGAGATTGAAGATTAATTTCTGATCCGTGGAAATATTTCAGGTTATAATAATCCTAGTCAGAATAAAATTATGATATCTGAACTTACTGGAGGTGATTTTAAAATGATTATGGATGAATGGCTGGACAGATTGCCTTCTAAAGTCCAAACCCATCATTTTAACCAACGAGTGCTGGATTTCTGTAATCCATTTAAATTAAAAGATATTTGGGGCTCAGAAATCCTGATACTACCAGTTTCACTTGGTTTAAATCTGATCTCAGATATCAGGCATCAACTTATCTCGAAGCCTTAATGTATCTGCTGCTCATTTGACAGATCACTGCCAGATGCTGTTGAACTCTCTTAAAGTCCTGCTGTTAAGGGCTTCAGCAACATGAGCTACTGGAAGTTCAACTCTAACCTCTAAATCTAACCCAAGAATCATTCTGCAGTCAAATTACAATTCTAATACAAGATATTTGCAAAGAACCAAACCCTTCTTATAAAACAGGATTTTTAAAATTTAAAATGCACCAAAACTCTAATAAAACCAGTAAACATTTCAGTAGACAAAGTAGGGAACATGAATTGGAAATTATTCATGAAATAAACTGTTAAGCATCTGAATAATATGCTCTGTTCTATATTGCATCTATGTAAATATGTGTAAATAAGAATGTGTATATGTATATGCTTTTATTGTGAAGAGTACAGTAGAGGAAGTTGAACTTTGACCTCATAGAATGCACCAATAAAAAGGGAGCATTGGTGTTTGTAGATGCAATCAGTGTGTGCTACCATCAGTGAAGGCCCGTTGAAACAGACACTCTGTGGAAACTCTTTCTGTCCCAATTCAACCAGTGAACACCTTCCTTCAGACATTACTGAACTTTTTAATCATTTATAATCACTGTTGTAGCAAATTCAGTGGAGATGGACTTCAGTTATTTTAAACAAGCACTGGTCACCAGGACCAGTGGCGCCAGTGTGCCCCAGGGCAGCTGTGGCTGCAATACAGCTCATCAACATTGGTGTGTGAATGGATGAATGACTCGATGATGCACTTTGGAGTCACGTGACCCAGAAAGTGCAGGTAATTCCACAGGTATTTATTTAGCCTGATGGCTCCAGTAAACAGACCACAGCCCCACGGCACAACAAAGCCCAGAACGATAACTGCTTACTGGGTAGGGCCGTGCGATGTAAGCTCGTTAAGGATTATGATGTAATGACGATCTACCAAACTCAGAGCACCATCTCTTTGCATTTCATCACCCGTCTGTGCCATTATTTCTGGCACATGTTCTGGCACACATATGTTTATTTTTCTTCTTTTAGCCGAGTCGCATCGTTTTCTGGTCTGCTTCTATCAGCACGACAGGCACACTGATGAACCACTCATATCAGACCAATTTATTTGTAACAGCGCATTTCAACACATGAAAGCTGACCAGAGCGCCTTAGAGAAGGTCATAATAAAAAACAAGTCAAACAACCAATTAAACAACTCAAGACAGTAAAAGCGACAACACCAAAGGGTCATAAACCAAAAGACAAATGATAGAAATGAGTCTTCAGTCTCGACTTGAAGACTGAGACAGGTAAAGACTGCTGTATGGTGATGGGAAGAGCATTCCAAAAGACAGGTGCAACATACACAAAAGCCTGCTTCCCCCTCGCTTTATAGTTCAGTGGGGGTTCATAACAGCAAGTGGTCAGCTGATCTCAGAGTGCACTGGGACATAGAGCGTGAGCAGATCTGACATGTAGGAAGGCCCGAAGCCATTCAGTGTCTTGTAGACAAAGAGCCGCATTTTGAATCGCACCTTAAAGGTCATAGGTGGCCAGTGCAAGCATGCCCAAACCAGGGTGATATGACCACATCTGTTCGTGTTTGTCAAAAGCACTATCTGCAGCCTGTTCAAAGCTGAAGCAGGAGAGCCAGTGCACAATGAATTTGCATAGTCCAAACAAGAGGTAATTAAATAAAATGTATCACAGACTCCAGATGTGAACGTTTCAGAACTGGTTTCAGGCGTGTCTAGTGACGTAGAGGAGAAAAGCACAATTTAACAACCGCATTAATCTGAGGGACTATTGAAAATCCTGCGTCTAATTTCACCCCAGGCCCAGTGACACATTGTTTAAGGTCAGTACTCGGAAAATTTGGAACCGATTAGAGCTGCCACTGATGACTATTTTAGGAGTTGACTAATCATGTCATTCATAAAAGTTTAGCTCACTGCACCAGGATGCTCTAAGATACCATCATTAGCTGTGATCAGCTATGTGCCATCTTAATAAAGACAAGATGATTGCTTATCAAACAGTTTTAATAACTTTGTAACCTATTAATACAAATGCTGCAGTCAGATGGCGGTAGGCACCTAAAATCAAAAATATAAGTTGTACACAAAATAATGTATCCAGCTAAAATAGTCTTATCCTACACAATGCTCTTGTTCAGTCAGAAATTTAGCCCTCATTTTCACTCCCCCATCTTCACTCGCCATCTTCCAATCTTCACTCAGGAAATAGCAGGCTACACCGAGGAACGCCCCTGTAACACGGCTGGTCCACACGTCAGGGTCAGGGGACCATCAGCAGCTCTGAGTGTCTGCTTTACCTTAAAGATAAAATATATAAAAGTTTGTTTGTTTACCAAATAAATCATTCTGTTATATCAAAAAAAAATTACGCTTTAATCAATGTTAGTTTCTTGATTGCTCAGTCAGAAAACCTTCCTCAGGTTCTGGTCCACACTGTTGTGACATCATCAGCTACATCCAGGATGAGATTCCCCCAACCCACCACAAGGTTCTTTTTATTATATATATATATATATATATATAGAGAGAGAGAGAGAGAGAGAGAGAGAGAGAGAGAGAGAGAGAGAGAGAGAGAGAGAGAGAGAGAGAGAGAGAGAGAGAGAGAGAGAGAGAGAGAGAGAGAGAGAGAGAGAGAGAGAGAGAGAGAGAGAGAGAGAGAGAGAGAGAGAGAGAGAGAGAGAGAGAGAGAGAGAGAGAGAGAGAGAGAGAGAGAGAGAGAGAGAGAGAGAGAGAGAGAGAGAGAGAGAGAGAGAGAGAGAGAGAGAGAGAGAGAGAGAGAGAGAGAGAGAGAGAGAGATCGATCACATCATGTCTTTCTGTTCCTCATAGATCTTCAACAGATGGTGCTGGTTAAAGAAGAAGTTCCTGGTGTGGACCAGCAGGACCTAGAACACCTGCACATAAAGGAGGAAAAGGAGGAACTCTGGACCAGTCTGGAGGGAGAACATTTGCATTTGAAAGAGGAGACGGATCCTGCCACATTTCTACTTCCAGCTGTTTCTGTAAAGAATGAGGATGATGAAGAGAAGCCTCTTTTCTCACAGCTTCATCATCAGCGAATGGAAGTCATAGATGTTTCAACCTGCAGCTTAGCTGATCAGATAACAGCAGAAACTGGTAGAGGAGCTGAAAATAGAAAAAAGCCAGATCTGAAACATCATGAACATACATTAAGTTCTTCAGAGACTGAAGTTAGTGAAGATGATGAAGAAGAGGATGATGATATGAATCTAGACTCTGAGCTATCAGACTCTGGGCCTGAAACTGGAGATGAAGACGATAACTCGAATGATAGGTCTTCTAATTCAGATGTTAAGGCTGTCAACAAATCCTTTAGCTGCCCTGAGAGTAGTAAAGAATTTCTCCACAAGTGGTCTCTCCAGAAACATGTGAGAGTGACGAGTTCAACAATAGAGTCTTCAGGCTATTTGGTTGAAAAGAAATGTGTTGGACTAAAGCAACTTGTGGACTCATGTAGGAAAGTCCAGAAAGAACCCAACTCATTTAGTTGTGATGACTGTGGAAAAGATTTTAGTAATGAGAAAAGTTTAAACCGTCACATGCGAGTCCACACAGGACAGAAACCCTTTGTGTGTGAGGTATGTGGAAAAAGCTTCGGTCACAGGACAAATTTAAGCAGTCACATGCGAGTCCACACAGGACAGAAACCTTTTGTGTGTGAGCTCTGTAGAAAAAGCTTTAGTCAAAGGGCAGTTTTAGACAATCACAGGAGAGTCCACACAGGACAGAAACCTTACACTTGTGAGCTCTGTGGGAAGAGCTTTAGCCAAAAGATAACTTTAAAGGGTCACATGAGGGTCCACACAGGACAGAAACCTTTTGTGTGTATGGTCTGTGGACAAAGATTTAGTCATAAGGCAAATTTTAACAGTCACATGAGAGTCCACACAGGACAGAAACCTTTTGCTTGTGAAGTCTGTGAACAAAGATTTAGTCATAAGACAACTTTAAACAGTCACATGAGAGTCCACACAGGACAGAAACCTTTTGCTTGTGAAGTCTGTGAACAAAGATTTAGTCAAAAGGCAAATTTACAAAAACACATGAGAGTACACACAGGACAGAAACCTTTTACTTGTGAACTCTGTGGACAAAAATTTAGTCAAAAGACAAGTTTAAATAGTCATATGAGAGTTCACACAGGACACAAACCTTTTGTGTGCAAGCTCTGTGGACAAAGCTTTAGTCAAAGGACAAATTTAAGCAGTCACATGAGAGGCCACACTGGACAGAAACCTTTTGCTTGTGAACTCTGTGGACAAAGATTTAGTCATAAGAAATGTTTAAACACCCACATGAGAGTCCATACTGGAGAGAAACCTTTTGCTTGTGAACTCTGTGGACAAAAATTTAGTCATAAGTCAAGTTTAAACTGTCACATGAGAGTCCACACAGGACAAAAACCTTTTGCTTGTGAACTCTGTGGACAAAGATTTAGTCATAAGACCAGTTTAAACCGTCACCTGAGAGCACACACTGGACAGAAACCTTTTGCCTGTGAACTCTGTGAACAAAAATTTAGTGAAAAAACAAATTTAAAAAAGCACATTAGAATCCACACAAGACAGAAATCTTTTGCCTGTGAACTATGTGAACAAAGATTTAGGTATAAGAAATTTTTAAAAGATCACATGAGAGTCCACACTAAGGATTGAGAGACTCACAGATCTGAACCGGTGGTTCGATCACAACGTTAGCGATGCATCTGCAACGGTAGCTTCAGGTTGCATTGGATACAACTGACAGCTCTATCGCAGCATATGTTCCCATGCATGTCTCTTGCTGGTAAAATCCATGGGGTATATTGATTACTTCATAGTTTACCTGCTATGTCTTTGTTTTTTGTGGCTCATTGAATGCAGTCTCTTTTAGCGGAATCACCATATTGTTAATGTATCGCTGGTAGTTTGTCGAGATACAAGTCAGAGTTTCTAGCATGGCACCTGTACCCTGCTGTTAAATAGTTTGTGTATTGTAGAAATATTTGTCTTTTACCAGTGGTTTATACTTTGAGTTGTATAGCTGCAGATGTTTTCAGTTGTTTTAGCCTCATTTCTGGTTTCACATCATTGAGATTTCTGTTGTAGTTTAGCCGATGGAAAATAACTCTGTGTTAAATCATCTAGTTTTTGTTTTCCACAGATTTTCATTTTCTCACTAAACCTTTTCTTTGATTTCCTGTTGAAGGTTTAGAGTTTTAGCTTCTATTTATGTTTTATGACATTTTTCTTTTTTCTACTCCTGAAGAAGTGTGGAGACTGTTTTTCTAGCTGTTTAGCTTTAAATGTGTGATGGAGGTTCAGGCTCATATACTGACTGAAGTCTGTTTAGATTCACCTAAACTAAGAAAGAATCTGTACCGTAGCTGGGATCGTGGAAGAGACGCAAGTGTGTGTTTAGATTGTAACTCAGAGTTCAGAGTGGTTCTGCTTCAGTCAGCTTTTGGATCATTAACACTTGACAGGGTCCATGATGGTGTTTTTATTAAGAAGCTCTCATTTCTTCTTCTGTCTAAGGTTTTTAGGAGGATCTGATTTAGGAAATGTTGGAGCATTAAAGGTTCTTTGCAGTGGAACGTTCTGAACTGTTGGAGTGTAATCCATCATTCAGGTGTTCTGAGTGGGTTCTGCTGTCCTTACAGGTAAAGCAGCTGTTACAGCTTGTTGGAGATATCTGATAATGTTTGTTTTACTTCTTTTTATTTGGCTTTTCTGTTATTCTTTAGTTTCATGAGACGTTTCAACCAGATTAACGTTGACTTTGCTTCTAAGTGTTGGTTCTAGATCTTAGCAACGATCTTTATGCTTCCTGCTTTGTTTCTTCTTATTAGAATTAAAAGCTTGAATCCAGGACTGTTTTCTCATTGTGTGATAAGTCTCTAATAAAATCCCACAACACTACACCTGCTGTCTCCCACTGCACACTCACCTACTCAGCTCTGTGACTACCTCTGTTGGCTCTCAGGTGGATTAGTGGAGGATCAGCTTGGAGAGCCCATTCCACCTCTGGACTTTCACACAGAACACCAACAAAAGCTCATCAGGAGCAGCTTGGAGGTGTTGCATCTGTAAAACAAACTTCATTCTAGTGTCTCCTAACAGCCTGGTGTGTTGCTATTTTCTCTTATTTCTACTTAAAGACACAATCAGACCTAAACATGGGATGGAGCTGACGACAAAGATGGATGAAGGCTGAGAAACAGAGACCATCTCCATTTGAGTCTATCTGACCATAAAATGAGCCCAAAATCCAAACATCAACAACATCAACGTCCCAAAAACACAGATTCTCCGTTGATCTTGAGGTAATTTCTGACAGCGTAAAGTTAGCAAAGCCTGAGTTACAACTTGTGTTTATTTCCGGAGCATCAGGTGACGTCTCAGCGGTTTGATATGCGTCCTGAGGGAAAACCAGTTCTCCCCAAATCCTTAGACACACATGCTGCAGTTTTGAGCCACGGGGCTTGCCGTAGCTAAACTCTGGAGATGGTGGGAATTGTAGATCAGATGTTTACAGAAGATGGATTCAAACGTGTGTAGAAACACAACATAGTGATTTTGACTGAAGCTTTGAGTGGAAACAGACAGAAAAACAACATCTGGATCCTGGAATCATTACAGCTTCCATCTTTAAAGGACTGGAAGAGGAAGAAGTTCACAAGGAATCACTTAGAAGTTTCAATCAGAAACAGATGGAATCCATGAATCTGAAAAGGTGTTAGTGAGTGAAAGAGACCGACATGTACAGACAGAACTATCTGTTCTACAGTGTTTCTCTGACAGGAGGAGACTCGTCACATCAGACTCAACACAGACACTGAAGAACCAGGAGGCTAGGTGTGGAGGTGGATCGGTGAGTCTGTAGAAGGACACAATGCCAGCAGGACAGTCCACATAGACTGCTGCTCTGTTAGAGACAGAGGAGAAGATGCTTGTATGTCTGCTATTGTAACAAAGTAACCATCGTCAGAGCAGTCCAGACTCCAGGAGTGATCATTCCATCCAAACCAACAGTCTCTACTGACTCCTTTCCTCCCAATTCTTCTGTAACTCACCAATATTAAAAGTCTTCCTCTCCACTCGACCTCCCAGTAACAGCGACCAGTTAGACCAGTTCTACACAGCAGCTGAGGACAGTATTTAAACCTATCTGGATGATCAGGGTATAACTGAACCTCCTCATGTGTCACCTTCCCGTTGTCATTACAGTCTGAGTTCTCTGTAAACTGTGTGTCGATGGAGAGCTGACAGGAACCTGATGGAGAGAACACAATCCAGCTGCAGTTATTGTTCATTTATTGACACCTTGATGATGACTCATGAATGAGTGATGTGACCTTGTGAAGATGGTTGAGTGTGTGCTGCTTTGTTGCCATGAATCAAATCCAAACACACAAACTTCCTCTGACCTGGTGTCAACCATCGGACTCCAGCAGGCTCCACCCTGAAAGGAGGAGGGGGGTCAGACCATCAGTCTCTGTCAGCATGTAAACATGGACATGACATGGTTCTCATACACACATTGTTCTACACTGAGAAAGGAACAGTCCAACATTTGAATGGAGCTTTAGAAATGTTGGCCCATATTGATAGGATAGCATCTTGCAGTTGATGGAGATTTGTGTGCATAATTATTACGCAACTTCCTTTCCTTTGGCAATGTGGGCGGTGGTAGCTAGAAAATGATTCCTGTTGATCAGGCTAACATGGATTTATCAATTAATCTAGTTAATCCACCCTTTGAAATGGTTCCTTCCCACGCTAAACAGAGACTTTTTCAGTGCAAAACAGAGCCTGTTTGAACCATCGAACCATTATGATCTATAATTCCTTAGGGTGTCCCGCTACCAAGGAGGAGGGGAGACTAGCTCCAATTACCTAAGGTATCTTTTCTTAATCTGTCACAACCTGAAAACAAGTCCTGAAGCACAGGAACAAGCAAGTCAAGGTGGCTTACCTCTCCTGGAGGTCTGGTCCCAACTCAAAAGGCTAAAAGAGACCTTTAAGAATCGAGAACGAGGATTCTTTTTCCAAAAAATTTATTTCAAAATTAAAAAATACAAAAAAAAGAGTAAATATAAGATTAACAATCCCCTTAGGAGGATGCTGCTTCTAAAAATCTTCCTGAGAATAACTGCTGCTACTTCGTCAACTTGTGTCAACTCTAACTGTCTAATAAGTCCAAGTCCCTCTTCAACTTCTCGTCGACCTCTTCTATCCCCTCTACTCTCTTACTCTCTACCACTGCTCTGTCTCTCTACTGTCCAACTCTACTTCTATCATTCTAGAAACTGCCAAGCATAACATTTTCCATAGTGAAGCAATACCTCAACTAATCATGAGACAGCCTAAACAATGTAATCTTTTGCCAGTTACATACATCTTTTTATCACAAGACAGCAAAACAATGTGATTATTTGTCAGTTTCATATCTCAGTCAAACACAAGACAGCCGTACCCATATGATGTTATATTTGTAAGCTGGTCTCAGTCTCCACCCAAAGTCCAGAACTTTCCACAGAGGACTTTCATTTCCTGAGATGTCTCTTCAGCTGGCCTTCTTTGGTACCACCTCTTCTGCTGTTTCCTCTTCAGTTGGACCACTCCTGCCTGATTCCACTCGCACGAGCGAGCTCGAGCTTATCTTTGCTCTCCTTAGGACTTCGTTCATTACCTCCATTGTTTTTGGCATGCGAGAGCTTGCAACATTTTGAGTTTTCAAGTTAGAAGTCAAGTGATCAATCCTATAGTTTCTCACCTGTGTGGGTTTTCATGTGAGAAATCAAGGAAGGTTTCCAAGTGAAACATTTACCACACTTTTCACATTTAAACGGTTTCTCACCTGTGTGAACTTTCATGTGGCTAGTCAAATCACAATTACGACGGAAACTATCACCACACGTTTTACATAGATAGTTCTCACCTGTGTGAGTACTCATGTGTTCAGCCAAAGAAGCTTTCAAAGGGAAACATTTACCACAGGTTGTACATGTAAATGGTCTCTCATCTGTGTGAACACACATGTGAGAAGTCAAGTAATAATGCTGAGAGAAACATCTACCACAAGTTTCACATGTAAATGGTCTCTCACCTATGTGAGACCTCATATGAGAAGTCAAGTGGTTATTCTGAGAGAACCATTTACCACAAGTTGTACAAGTAAATGGTTTCTCACCTGAGTGAGATTTCATATGACAAGTCAAGTGGGTATTCTGAGAGAAACATCTACCACAAGTTGTACATGTAAATGGTCTCTCACCCGTGTGAGTTACTGTGTGTTTAGTCAAGGAAGCTTTCCAAGAGAAGCATCTACCGCATGTTTCACATGTAAATGGTTTCTCACCTGTGTGAGATTTCATATGAGAAGTCAAGTCATAAATCTGGGAGAAACATCTACCACAACTTTCACACGTGAATGGTCTCTCACCTGTGTGAGTTCTTGTGTGTTTGGTCAAGGAACCTTTCCAAGAGAAACATTTACCACAACTTTCACATGTGAATGGTCTGTCACCTCTCTGAGCCCCCTTGAGCCTGTTTGGTTTTTGACTATCTGCACGGTCTCTGTGATCTTCGGTTTGTTGACTCATTTTGTTTTGACTCACATCTTCATTGATGTTTGATTCTGAGTTTTCATTCCTGCATCCATCCTGATTTTGGTTCTTAGCTTCAGTAGAACTCTGACACAAGATGTGGATCCTGTTTGGTTCTGGGTCACAGCAGTCGGTTCCTTCAGAAGATGTCACCATAAAGGTAACATTTTCCTGCTTGAGAATGAATGCCCCTTCAGGCTGAGCAATACAGAGCTCCTGCTGTTCCTCTTTGATCAGTGGAGGTTCTGGTTCTTTTTGGTCCAAACTGGAGGTGATCTCCTGGCTAGAGAGCAGCTGGTCAGCCAGAACCTCCTCCTTTTCCCATACGTGATGCTTAGGAAGTTCTGGACAGGCTAAAAGACAAAGGAAAATGTTGATTAATGGTAAATGGCTTGTATTTGTACTAGGACTGCAGGTATATTTTAGTATTCAAATATTCTATTGAATCCTCTGTGGAATGGAATATTCTATTTGACAATGTTTCAAGTGAAACAAGACTGTGGTCTGCTGCTAAAAATGTACAAAAAGTAATAATAATAATAATAATATTAAGAGGCTCAATAATGTTTTTGGCTAGGACCTCCCTTGAATGAGGTTTTTAATCTCAATGGTACCTTCCTGGTTAAAGTGACAATGTGAAGTTTTACCTTAAATTTCTGCAAATCAAATCAAAATGTTGTTGAAAATTAACAAAAGGATGTCCAGTTGTTGAAAAATATTGGAGACTTCATAACATAAAACCATAAAAGTTGGGTCTAAAATACATAAGACCCAGGTCTAAGTTTCAGGGGTAGGCCATTTTTTGATGATTATGCGATCGTGTTTTTTTAACTTACGCCGACCAGCCAGAATTAAGCCCCTGCTGTCCAGAGTACATTTAGAGACTGTCACACATGCTTTTGTTCTTTCAAGGCTCAACTACTGCAATGCACTGTATGCCGGCCTTACGGACGGACGGAGAAGTAAAAGAGCAAAACGCTTCCGTCAATCCGTGCGTGTCTGTCCCTTGCGGAGCTGACGGAGAAGCATAAACCAGGCTTTAGTCAGGGTGCGGTAGCACGCTTGCAGTTAGTACAAAACTCAGCCGCTAGGTTCGTGACAGGCACTAGGCGCAGGGAACATATCACCCCTGTGTTGGCATCCCTCCATTGGCTGCCTGTACAATACAGGGCAAAATTCAAGGTCTTGGTACTGGCATACAGGGCCTTACAAGGAACTGCTCCAGCATATCTTGGCAACCTTTTGCATAGACATGCCCCCTCCCGCGGGCCCTTCGCTCAGCCGGCAGGGAGCTGTTGATCGTTCCACGCACTAAGTGCAGGTCACGGGGGGACCGTGCGTTCTTGGTGTTGGCACCTGCACTTTGGAACCAGTTGCCTTTGGTGGTGCGTCAGTCACCCTCATTGGGTTTTTTAAGACTCACCTTAAGACCCATTTTTTTATCAAGGCATATCAAGGCATTCCAGGATTAGCTAATTTTACCCGGTTTCGATGCCCCGGCCTCTTAATCTTTTTCAGGATTTTATTTTTTGCTTTTACTCTCCTCTTTTAATTGATTTTATGTTGGTTTTACGATTGTTATATTTTATTCTGATGGTTTTATGTTTTTATTGTGTTGTGTTGTGCTCAGCACCTTGGGCGTCTGCATTGGTCGCAGAAGGGGCTTTATAAATAAATGAAATGAAAATGAAATGTTTTACGTGAGCCGGCTCGGAGTCCTGCGCTCCACTTTCATAAAAGTTATGTTAGCATGTTGACACAGAAACTTTTGATTGGTCCACACAAATTTGCAATTGTAGTACTTGTGGTTGTAGTCCTATAGTAAATAAATAAATAATGGGGGATATGTTTATAGCCTGACCTATCAGACTCGTCCTCTGGGACTAGCCAGCTCAAAAATAATCAATCAGAAAAAAATGTGGAAATGCCGACTGTACTGCGCGATGCATCTAATGACAGTGCAAAAGCCTTTCTTTAGAAGAAAGGCTTTTGCTTGTTGTGGTTTTAAAGTCACGTTCATGTCATTTAGAACAGAGGAAAGAGCCGCAGCGAACTCCTCTTCAGACGCCATGTTTATGAGAAACTCAGCATCGCGGTGTATGACGTACGCTGCTCAGCAATGATTGGCTCAGTTAGAAATCTCAGGGAGTGGGGTTATTTGAATAGAAGAGTTGCTTCCCATAAGGAAGCATGGGGCTGGCTGGTCAGGCTAGTATGTTTATATTGCCAAAAGAAATGTAAAATAAAAGCAGAAATATCAGTTTATATAAAAATATCAGATTCGTCACTGCACAAAGTATTGTAAAAAGCCCCCCTGTGGGCGGGCGCGAGCCAAGATGGGTGAGGCCACGAATGCAAATTCACTGTGTGACATAGATATGTGAGGACTTTCAAATCCGAGCATTTTACTGTCTATTTTCTATCAGAAGCTAATGCAGGGCAGACTGTTTTCATGTTCAGCCTGCATGAAACACTCAGTGACCCATTATAATCAGAAATAATAGTTTTTCAGTGTTCCACACCTTTAAAGAGCAAGTCACCACCTACAAGAAACTTACTTCACTCCCACTTCATGTTTGAAAAATGCAACAAATGCTGTTGCTTGGCAGACCGAGAGGGCGGAGCCGCTAACAAATACACACGCAATGGCATTGTGACATCATAATGTACCAGATGACATCATAGCATACCTCTTAGCCAATAGCAGTGGCAGATTTAAATTCAAATACAGTGCAGAATTTGTCCCTGACGATGGCGCAACACTGACAGTTTTAGGCAGAATATTTGAATTTTAACCAAGATGCACTGAACTGCCAAATTATTGAATACACGTGTCTGTAGCACGATTAGACACTCCTTTATATAGTTTATCAGCAAAAAAAAAAGGGATTTGGGGGTGACTTGCTCTTTAAATTGAATCACATTGAGACTAGTGAAGAGTCACACCTCCAATAGACGCCACCCCCCCAACCCCCACCCCCTCACCTGTTGACACCGCAACAGCAGCTCTGATCTCAGGAAACACTGAAGGAAGGAGTTGGTATCTGTTTGGTTCTGGTTCATCGTGGTCTCTTTGCTTATCAGCAGGAGTCACAAGGGAGGTAACATTCTCCAGCTTCAGTCCAAGATGCTCTTCATCCTGACTGATGCAGAGATCCTCTTGTTCTAGAATCTGCAAAGGTTCTGGCTCATCCTGCTCCGATTTCACCTGTGGAGGTTCTGGTCCCTCCTGTAAATGTTCTGGATGTTGCTGGTCCAGCCTGGAGGACCTCTCCTGGTTCCAGAGCTGTTGGTCATTCAGAACCTCCTCATCTGTGTAGAAGGATATGTTGCTTTTAAGCTTAATATATTACCTTTACTTATGACCAATAAGATGTGATATTCTATATAAATACAGAGTATCACTCTGATTGGTATTTGAACGTTTAATCAGAAGAATTAGGATTCTTTGTTTTTCAGTGATCAAACACGCTTCGTATTAATTCAGACGGTCACGTTTATAAAAATAAATTTATTTTCTAAACAAATTAAAAACAAGGCAAGTTAGAAATAAGACAAATGTGATGATTAATATAAGTGGACGAAATGTGATGTATGATGATTGAATGGTGTGTGTTTATCAGAACCTCGTGTCTAGAAGAAACTGAGTTCTGGGTGTGAAAAGAATTTGGTCTGCATTAAACTATAAGTGATGGTTTATAAAACGGCATCAGACGCAAATCACGTCATGCCTACGTATCCGTTCCTGGAGACCCCGTTTGGATCAGAGATGTCAAGGAGTCGTGACCCCAAATGCACGTGGTTCGTAGGAAAATCTCAATGCAACCAAGTCAGTCCTAGGATGTCTCCCGAGTCACATCAGATAGATGAAATCGTTTGCATCTAGAACAGCCGATTCTGAATAGCTGAAGACGGAACCGTTTTGCTGTGTCAGCTGTAGTGTGCAACAGGTTTTGACAGCTTGTCAAGAGATGCGGTGGTCAGTTTCCTCCGGTGGCCAGTCCGGAGTTCTGCTCAAAAACTAACTGAATCACTCAGCAAATGATTCTGTTTTAATATTCCCATATAATGATTACATGGCCGACCAGGACAAAAGAGGTTAAGAGGTGTTAACAAACAAACCCGAGAACACACGCCTTTTCCAGATACAAAAGATGCTCTGATTTGTGGGTAAGAAAATATCTATGTGCATGATGTTAACTTTCATTTATATCTTATGAACATTGTGTATGAGTGTAGATAATGATTCACTTGTTAAACCAAACATTACTGATCATAACATCAAAATGTTTCATGGTAATATTAAAATTCATTTCAACTTCATAGAATTAGTCACAGATGATTCAAACATTAATATTATTATTCATATAACATTTGTTCATTCAATCATATGTTTATTTGATGATTATTTAACTTATGAGTTGCAAAAGTTCATCTTTCAGGAGTGTGCAATCCTGCAGTCTTATCAAAAGAAAGCTTTGTTTGGGAACATAGGCGGACATCTTGTCCCCCTGAAACGTCAACAAGGACTGCAGAATCTTCTGGGCTTTAGAAGACAGAATAGAAACTCCACTCAGATAGTGGAATTGCGTCTGTAGATGACCAATAAGTAGGTGAAAATTGACCCTTTCTGGACGTTACATCTGTCATGACATAATGCAGTGGGAGTTCTGGACAGACAGACCAAACAAAAAGCTGATTCATGTGACAATAAGAAAGAACACTTCTCTTTGATGCATCTAAAGATGAACTCATAATCGGACAAAAAGCCACACAATGTTCTAGAATCAGAGATGAGAACAGCAGGTGTGTGTGTGTGTCTGACTGAACTGCTGCAGGTGTGTGTGTGTGTCTGACTGAACTGCTGCAGGTATGTGTGTATCTGACTGAACGGCTGCAGGTGTGTGTGTCTGACTGAACGGCTGCAGGTGTGTGTGTCTGACTGAACGGCTGCAGGTGTGTGTGTCTGACTGAACGGCTGCAGGTGTGTGTGTGTATCTGACTGAACGGCTGCAGGTGTGTGTGTGTATCTGACTGAACGGCTGCAGGTGTGTGTGTGTGTCTGACTGAACTGCTGCAGGTGTGTGTGTGTGTCTGACTGAACTGCTGCAGGTGTGTGTGTGTGTCTGACTGAACTGCTGCAGGTGTGTGTGTGTGTGTCTGACTGAACTGCTGCAGGTATGTGTGTATCTGACTGAACGGCTGCAGGTGTGTGTGTGTCTGACTGAACGGCTGCAGGTGTGTGTGTGTGTCTGACTGAACGGCTGCAGGTGTGTGTGTGTATCTGACTGAACGGCTGCAGGTGTGTGTGTGTCTGACTGAACTGCTGCAGGTATGTGTGTGTCTGACTGAACGGCTGCAGGTATGTGTGTGTCTGACTGAACGGCTGCAGGTGTGTGTGTGTATCTGACTGAACGGCTGCAGGTGTGTGTGTGTGTCTGACTGAACGGCTGCAGGTGTGTGTGTGTGTCTGACTGAACTGCTGCAGGTGTGTGTGTGTGTCTGACTGAACGGCTGCAGGTGTGTGTGTGTGTCTGACTGAACGGCTGCAGGTGTGTGTGTGTATCTGACTGAACGGCTGCAGGTGTGTGTGTGTGTCTGACTGAACGGCTGCAGGTGTGTGTGTGTCTGACTGAACGGCTGCAGGTGTGTGTGTGTATCTGACTGAACGGCTGCAGGTGTGTGTGTGTATCTGACTGAACGGCTGCAGGTGTGTGTGTGTATCTGACTGAACGGCTGCAGGTGTGTGTGTGTATCTGACTGAACGGCTGCAGGTGTGTGTGTGTATCTGACTGAACGGCTGCAGGTGTGTGTGTGTCTGACTGAACGGCTGCAGGTGTGTGTGTGTCTGACTGAACTGCTGCAGGTGAGTGTGTGTCTGACTGAACGGCTGCAGGTGTGTGTGTGTCTGACTGAACGGCTGCAGGTGTGTGTGTATCTGACTGAACGGCTGCAGGTGTGTGTGTGTCTGACTGAACGGCTGCAGGTGTGTGTGTGTCTGACTGAACGGCTGCAGGTGTGTGTGTGTCTGACTGAACTGCTGCAGGTGAGTGTGTGTCTGACTGAACGGCTGCAGGTGTGTGTGTGTCTGACTGAACGGCTGCAGGTGTGTGTGTATCTGACTGAACGGCTGCAGGTGTGTGTGTATCTGACTGAACGGCTGCAGGTGTGTGTGTATCTGACTGAACGGCTGCAGGTGTGTGTGTATCTGACTGAACGGCTGCAGGTGTGTGTGTGTGTGTGTGTCTGACTGAACGGCTGCAGGTGTGTGTGTGTGTGTCTGAACTGCTGCAGGTGTGTGTGTGTCTGACTGACTGAACTGCTGCGGGTATGTGTGTATCTGACTGAACTGCTGCAGGTGTGTGTGTGTGTGTGTGTGTCTGACTGAACGGCTGCAGGTGTGTGTGTCTGAACTGCTGCAGGTGTGTGTGTGTCTGACTGAACGGCTGCAGGTGTATGTGTGTATCTGACTGAACGGCTGCAGGTGTATGTGTGTATCTGACTGAACGGCTGCAGGTGTATGTGTGTATCTGACTGAACGGCTGCAGGTGTGTGTGTGTGTGTGTGTGTCTGACTGAACGGCTGCAGGTGTGTGTGTGTCTGAACTGCTGCAGGTGTGTGTGTGTCTGACTGACTGAACTGCTGCGGGTATGTGTGTATCTGACTGAACGGCTGCAGGTGTGTGTGTGTCTGACTGAACGGCTGCAGGTATGTGTGTATCTGACTGAACGGCTGCAGGTGTGTGTGTATCTGACTGAACGGCTGCAGGTGTGTGTGTGTGTCTGACTGAACGGCTGCAGGTGTGTGTGTGTATCTGACTGAACGGCTGCAGGTGTGTGTGTGTGTATCTGACTGAACGGCTGCAGGTGTGTGTGTGTGTATCTGACTGAACGGCTGCAGGTGTGTGTGTGTATCTGACTGAACGGCTGCAGGTGTGTGTGAGTGTCTGACTGAACAGCTGCAGGTGTGTGTGTGTCTGACTGAACAGCTGCAGGTGTGTGTGTGTGTCTGACTGAACGGCTGCAGGTGTGTGTGTGTGTGTCTGACTGAACGGCTGCAGGTGTGTGTGTGTCTGACTGAACGGCTGCAGGTGAGTGTGTGTCTGACTGAACGGCTGCAGGTGAGTGTGTGTCTGACTGAACGGCTGCAGGTGAGTGTGTGTCTGACTGAACGGCTGCAGGTGAGTGTGTGTGTCTGACTGAACTGCTGCAGGTGTGAGTGTGTGTCTGACTGAACGGCTGCAGGTGTGAGTGTGTGTCTGACTGAACGGCTGCAGGTGTGAGTGTGTGTCTGACTGAACGGCTGCAGGTGTGTGTGTGTCTGACTGAACAGCTGCAGGTGTGTGTGTGTGTCTGACTGAACGGCTGCAGGTGTGTGTGTGTGTGTCTGACTGAACGGCTGCAGGTGTGTGTGTGTGTGTCTGACTGAACGGCTGCAGGTGTGTGTGTGTGTGTCTGACTGAACGGCTGCAGGTGAGTGTGTGTCTGACTGAACGGCTGCAGGTGTGTGTGTCTGAACTGCTGCAGGTGTGTGTGTGTCTGACTGAACGGCTGCAGGTGTATGTGTGTATCTGACTGAACGGCTGCAGGTGTATGTGTGTATCTGACTGAACGGCTGCAGGTGTATGTGTGTATCTGACTGAACGGCTGCAGGTGTGTGTGTGTGTGTGTGTGTCTGACTGAACGGCTGCAGGTGTGTGTGTGTCTGAACTGCTGCAGGTGTGTGTGTGTCTGACTGACTGAACTGCTGCGGGTATGTGTGTATCTGACTGAACGGCTGCAGGTGTGTGTGTGTCTGACTGAACGGCTGCAGGTATGTGTGTATCTGACTGAACGGCTGCAGGTGTGTGTGTATCTGACTGAACGGCTGCAGGTGTGTGTGTGTGTCTGACTGAACGGCTGCAGGTGTGTGTGTGTATCTGACTGAACGGCTGCAGGTGTGTGTGTGTGTATCTGACTGAACGGCTGCAGGTGTGTGTGTGTGTATCTGACTGAACGGCTGCAGGTGTGTGTGTGTATCTGACTGAACGGCTGCAGGTGTGTGTGTGTGTCTGACTGAACAGCTGCAGGTGTGTGTGTGTCTGACTGAACAGCTGCAGGTGTGTGTGTGTGTCTGACTGAACGGCTGCAGGTGTGTGTGTGTGTGTCTGACTGAACGGCTGCAGGTGTGTGTGTGTCTGACTGAACGGCTGCAGGTGAGTGTGTGTCTGACTGAACGGCTGCAGGTGAGTGTGTGTCTGACTGAACGGCTGCAGGTGAGTGTGTGTCTGACTGAACGGCTGCAGGTGAGTGTGTGTGTCTGACTGAACTGCTGCAGGTGTGAGTGTGTGTCTGACTGAACGGCTGCAGGTGTGAGTGTGTGTCTGACTGAACGGCTGCAGGTGTGAGTGTGTGTCTGACTGAACGGCTGCAGGTGTGTGTGTGTCTGACTGAACAGCTGCAGGTGTGTGTGTGTGTCTGACTGAACGGCTGCAGGTGTGTGTGTGTGTGTCTGACTGAACGGCTGCAGGTGTGTGTGTGTGTGTGTCTGACTGAACGGCTGCAGGTGTGTGTGTGTGTGTCTGACTGAACGGCTGCAGGTGAGTGTGTGTCTGACTGAACGGCTGCAGGTGAGTGTGTGTCTGACTGAACGGCTGCAGGTGTGTGTGTATCTGACTGAACGGCTGCAGGTGTGTGTGTGTATCTGACTGAACGGCTGCAGGTGTGTGTGTGTATCTGACTGAACGGCTGCAGGTGTGTGTGTGTCTGACTGACTGAACGGCTGCAGGTGTGTGTGTGTGTGTATCTGACTGAACGGCTGCAGGTGTGTGTGTGTGTGTGTATCTGACTGAACGGCTGCAGGTGTGTGTCTGACTGAACTGCTGCAGGTGTGTGTCTGACTGAACTGCTGCAGGTGTGTGTCTGACTGAACTGCTGCAGGTGTGTGTGTGTGTCTGACTGAACGGCTGCAGGTGTTTGCTATGTGGGTAAATATTTACATTTTCTTCTTAGTGTCACTCGTAGTTGAAGTTTTGGACGATTTCATGAATTTCAGAGATGAGAAATACAAGTTTTTTTATGAAAAGCAAGTTAAGTCAGGGTGCGTTTTTGCAAACCGGTGTATCTGTATGACAGATGTACCAAGGATAATAACATTTAATGCAAGATCCATTTTGTTTTCATAAATAATTTTATAAAGTAGTCCCAAGTCTAAAATGGTGCCTGTGAATCATTTATGTTACTAATTATTACCGAGTGATTTTAAGGACGTTTTTATTCACAATGCTAGTTAGCTTAGCATAAAACACAGTAAGTGTTTTGTTTGTCCACAAAATAAATTCTATTTTGGTTGGAATATCCCTTTAAGAACTGTTTGTTCAAACCCAAAGGCCTTTAAGGTATGAATCATAAAACGAGGGCTCAATGGTGTCGAATTCAAAAGATAAAGAAATAAAATAAATCCTTCATCTTCTGTTAAGTTATATTCTATAGGGTCAAGTGCACGTCTAATGTTATGGATACTTAAAAAAAACCAGATTGTGTTTCTGAAATAGAATCAGCAATACCAGTGTTCAACCTGTTTGCATAAATATGACTTTTATAGACATTATTACGAAGAGCCATGGTGATTATTATCCAGTGATTTGGTGTAATGAAGGGAGATTTCCCAAAACAACAGTAAGAGTTACTCCTGGGACCGTCTGATCCAGATAAATACTCCATTGCACTTTCTTCTACTGTGAAATCTGCATCACATGTAGTCTTGGAAGTTCACGTCTATGCATGGTATCCAATTTTTATTGGTTTATTTCATGAATAATTTCCAATTCATGTTCACTACTTTGTCTACTGAAATGTTTACTGGTTTTATTAGAGTTCTGGTGCATTTTAAATTTTAAAAATCCTGTTTTATAAGAAGAAGGGTTTGGTTCTTTGCAAATATCTTGTATTCGATAGGGCTGTCGCGGTAACCGCAAAAATGAAATATCGCAATATGAAGACGCCCACCGCGCTGCATCATGCGCCACCGCGATTACTGAACTTGGTTCAACTCAATGATGCATGTTGAGAAGGATGGCTGCACTGGTATCAAAACGAAACGTTACTTCGCTCCTTTGGGAGCGCTTTGGTTTTCAGTACGTCAGCTGCTGCGCAGCCAGAGTCCTTGGCCGAGACGGAGCTGCAACCAGCGGCAAAAAATAAATAAATAATAAACGCTCGGAGACCTGCTGAAGTCCCGGACAAGCACTGCTTCTGCAACCGTCCCGAAGAGAGTTTGAGCCGAGCTGGAGCTCACTCGCTACCTGCAGGAGGAATGCATCCACCCTAAAGAACCCCCCTGACATGGTGGAGCAACAACCGAGAGAGATTCCCTTTGCTTGCCAGAGTCGCACGCAAGTACGTGTGCGTTCGTGCAACGAGCGCACCATCCGAGAGGGTTTTCAGTGTTGCTGCAAATGTTGCCACCCCTCTCAGATCCTCTCTCAAACCGTATATGGTTAACATGCTGGTTTTCCTTGTAGGTAACAAGGACGTGACCGAGCTATAAATCACCGTCATCCGTGTGTGTGAAAGTGAAAGTGAAATGATAGTGCGCCCGCCCCCCGGCGCGCGCGCGCCCGGTACATGTAATTTTTTATGCTTGATTTTAAACAACTAAACAAAATGGGGACTTGTTTCTTATTTGTTAGATGCTGCAGCCAAATTTGCATTTAAAAGTTTAACCTTCTCCTGAATTTTGTTGTTTTTAAGTTCAGTCGGACTCCGACTGTCGGAGAAACAAACGTTACTGCGATCTGTGTTGTTACTGCCCTTTGATCTGCATTCAGTAAAGTGTTATAAAAGAAGGCATGGCAATTTTTAACCTTTTTTAAATGTGTAAACATTATGTTTAGATAGTACTGCAATAAAAAAAGGACTGCAATAATATCGCACACCGCAATATTAAGCCACCCTGAATCACCGCAGGGGGAATTCCTCAACCGCGACAGCCCTAGTATTCGAATTGTAATTTGACTGCAGAATGATTCTTGGGTTAGATTTAGAGGTTAGAGTTGAACTTCCAGTAGCTCATGTTGCTGAAGCCCTTAACAGCAGTACTTTAAGAGAGTTCAACAGCATCTGGCAGTGATCTGTCAAATGAGCAGCAGATACATTAAGGCTTCGAGATAAGTTGATGCCTGATATCTGAGATCAGATTTAAACCAAGTGAAACTGGTATCAGGATTTCTGAGCCCCAAATATCTTTTAACTTAAATGGATTACAGAAATCCAGCACTCGTTGGTTAAAATGATGGGTTTGGACTTTAGAAGGCATTCTGTCCAGCCATTCATCCATAATCATTTTAAAATCACCTCCAGTAAGTTCAGATATCATCATTTTATTCTGACTAGGATTATTATAACCTGAAATATTTCCACGGATCAGAAATTAATCTTCAATCTCAAAAACACATTTTTCCAAGCATCCTTGGAAGTTCCTAGGATCTTTCCAGGTGGATTATTCAGGAGTATAGCGACCCCTGCTGAGCTATTTGTGCCATTGCAGTAGATTATTCTATCCGCATGAGCTGACCAGAATCTTTCCTCTTCGTGGTTTGGAAAACAGAACGAGCTTTTCCTTTTTGGAAATGATAATTATGGATTTTCTTTTTATTGAATCTCTCAGACCCCAGCACTGAGGGTCAAAGAAGGGGAAAGAAACAAAGGAGAGCATGAAGTAAAACAAACAATATTATCAAAGTTTACCTTTTGTAATTTATGTAAATACCTCAGTGTGATCTTCTGTCCTCACTGATCTAAAACACTGATAAACATAACACACACACACACACACACACACACACGCACCTGTATCCATGCTGTCCAGATCCAGATGGTGAAGTAAACACGATGAAGCAGTCCCAGCTGATGGATGATCCTGAAGTGGTAGCAGGTTTTCTTTAGCCGTGTTTAGCTAACAGCTGCAATAGAAACAAAGCAGGAGAGCTGAGTAAGATGCTGCTTCAGAACGACGCAGAAAGATCCAACGCTTTGGTTCTGATCAGCTGAGGACAGATCCGGTCTGGAAAAGAGGACCTTTGGTCACCAGAGTTCACGGAGTAGAGCTAACCGCTTTTTCTTCCAGAGTCACATTCAGATTCGGGGCTTTTCCGTCGGAGAGTGTGAGCAGGATGGATCAGAGAGCGAGCAGCGATCCTGCATCATGACCAACTCAGATGACCGAGTCTGATAGAGGCAACCTCTTCAATCTGATGAAAGCAGCAAAACGAGCGCGTTTCTCAGAGAGGCCAAAGGAATAGCAGCAGATCCAGAGGGCAGGAAGTCTAGAGAAAAGCTTTTCTGACCCATCACCTGATTCTGGAGCTCCGATTGACATGAAGACCGCAGAATATCTTCTCTGGTTTTGGAAAGAACTCCACCAAGTTGTTGAGGAGAAGAATGTTTCCACAGTCTGGTGAGAAGATTTCTGCAGCAGCAGTTAGTCGCTTTATGTGATCAACTCTCTCAGAGACTGAAGTGAAGACATTTTTACTGCAGAGCCTCAAATATTCTCCTCATACACCAGAACAACAAGCTAGCTCTGCTAGCAGCTTCCGGGTTTCTTCTTCAGCTGTTTTTAAATGGTTGGTAACAACGTAAGGTGCATTACCGCCACCTACCGGGGTGAAGCTGAACAGCTTTCCTCTAAACCAGGTTACGCCGGGGACACACCGGCCGCGGAAGCGCCGCGAAGCGCAGAGAAGCGAATCGCTCACGAAATTCGGCCGCTGCTCGCCGCTCCTCAGTTCAGATCAGACGCGCCCCAGTCGAGGGGCGCCTCGGCTCAGCTGTAGTTTTTCTTTTAAACACTTGGTGTCCTCCATTTCCTCTCTGCCTTTTCTCAGCTCTTTTCCTACGTTTGAGTGTTTGTGCGCGTGCGCGCGCGCGCGCGTGTGTGTGAACCTATGGTATGAGTTGTTTCTGCCAGTTGAATCTCTTGGAACCCGCTCCAATTCTGCAGCTGTATCCTAGCAGTTTCTTCCGACATGGGTACGTAAATAATCGTGTTTTTCGGGGGTCGTACAGCTCCTTGTGTTTCTCAACTTCCATAATTAATTTAAAGTCATCCATCCTAACTGCTTGCCTCAGACTTTCTGCCTCTCTGTCCTGTTTGCTCTGGTGAAAAGACACCCAAAACCACTCCCCCCTTCACGTGGTCACACACGCACACAAGTTCGATGTGTGTGTGTGCGTGTTCGTGTGGTTTTTCTGCAGTGTCTGTTTACGAACACATTTGACTATTGCGGAATTTTATTTTGAAATGCTTTATTTTGTTAACTTTACCGGCCTGCCTCTTATGTCTACGTTTGACTTCCTGCCAGAATTGACGCGATTCACCCGCGGCTCGCGAAAAAAATAGAGCCAACGCCGAAATGATCGCTGCACGGCGCGGGCTGGAGCGCCGGCGCGCGCCGGCGCGAGGCGATTCGCGGCGCTTCAGCGGCCCATGTGGTCTATAGAATAGCTTAACAAGGGCGCCGAATGAAGGCGGTCCCATTTTCGCGGCGCTTCGCGGCGCTTCCGCGGCCAGTGTGTCCCCGGCCTTAGGCTGTGAGCTGAGGAAGGTGTTCATCAGTGAGACTCCTGTGTTGTTTAGTTCATCTTCATCAAAGTGAACTGTTGCTCACGTGGTTCTGTGCTGCTGAACATGGAGAGCATTTGAGCAGCTTGGGTACAGAGTTGGGTCAGAAATAGAAACTGCAGCAGTCAGACTGACTTGAGCGTGTCACTAGAGTCCAATCAGCTCCTTCTGGAGGTTGATTGACGCGCTTCCACATAAACCAAAAACACATCAGTTCAAATCTCAGTTTCTGGGCTTCAAAGTGGACAAAGCTTCAGGTGAACTCAGAGATGAGTTTTCTCAGTGTGTCAGAGACTGCTAGCATGAATGCTAATGACAGTCAACGGAAAAGGAGGAGGTGCGTCTTGACTGCCAGTTCTAAAGCACATCACACAACACCTCCAAGCTAGCCTAGTGAACTAGACCAAATTCTTGCTTTGCAAAGAATTCTGAACTCTGAGTTACAATCTAAACACACACTTGCATCTCTTCCACGTTCCCAGCTACTGTACAGATTCTTTCTTAGTTTAGGTGAATCTAAACAGACTTCAGTCAGTAAATGAGCCTAAACCTCCATCACACATTTAAAGCTAAACAGCTAGAAAAACAGTCTCCACACTTCTTCAGGAGTAGAAAAAAGAAAAATGTCATGAAACATAAATAGAAGCTAAAACTCTAAACCTTCAACAGGAAATCAAAGAAAAGGTTTAGTGAGAAAATGCAGATGTCCAAATATCAGGAAATAAGACTCCAGATCGTTGGTTACGTATTGTAACCCCAGATTCTATGAGTCTAGTCGCAGCCCTTAAGCAAGTTGCTATTGGAAGGATGATCTCAGCATCAGCCAATCATGAAGAGCTTCAATGTACGCCCACCAATAGTGGGCCCCCTTGTGGATATATAAGTGGAGCGACTCCACTGTTCGCTTCCGATGGCTCTTAGTCCTAACCAGTGGCAGCTGGTGAAAAATATTTTTGGTGGGGCTGTGCTATTTTTTTTAAACAAACTTGTGCTTTCTGAGCTTTGTGCACAACTTCACTATTTCCTGAATTAAGCACAGCTCTTATATTTCCTGTCTTACATCATTGGACAAACTGATTAATCCAGGTGTGTCTGACTATTGGCAAACTGCCTTGCGGACCAAGGTTGAAAAATACTGCATTAAATTGCACATAAAATAACATGACCATAAATGGTAAATAGGCAATGCAAGAGGCAAGTAACAAAAACATTTTGTTTAATTTCAACATTTGAGTGAACACCAAAAATTATGAGCAGGTCACTGTTACAGTAATGGTAGTAAACACTACTTAGACAAAATGCCAGACATTTACACTGTTAGGACTTATGGAAAGTGGAAAGACTTTCATAGGAAATAATGTCATCAGTATCCTCTTACAAATGTCATATTTCCCACTTCCCAAGCTGGGAAATTTGTTTGCTGCAGCAGAAGTGTAACAAGTAAATTGGAATCAGATTGATGTATGTACAAATTTACTTGAAATACACATTTACATGATTAAATATGTATAATAGGTATGTGTGTTGAAATTAGTTTTTACAGTTATTGCACATTAAACAATGTACATGTTATTAAAAAAATGTCCCGGTTTGTGGGACAACCAAGGATTTCTGATTCTGATTGTCTTGTTTACAGAAATGTAATGTACAGCTTACCTCTGCACCCAGCTGCTGCTGTTCTCCCTGTCCAAACGTCCTCCGTTTCTTTGTTGGCTGCTGCACTGATGCGCTGCATTCCTCAGTCAGAGAATGAATGGAGTCCCCAATGAGACACACATCCACCTTCTGTGGATCCCAGCCGTTTTGAATAACAAACACAGAAAGCAAAATAACGCATTAGCGTGATTGCATCCAGCTAGCCACTGCTTCCTGGTGTACCAATTTTGGGAGAAGCGTCGTGTGTACAGTCTACCTCTCTCCTCCTGCTGCTGGCTTATCTTTACATCGGGCTGATCTGGTCCAAGCTCTTTGACATTAAGTTTTTCCACCATCAGAGGCGGTTTTACCATTAGGCATAGGTAGGGGGCCGCCTGGGGCCCCCTAGTGGTGGGGGGCCTCCTAGCCCTGACCGCCAGCACCCCTCTGTTAATGCCACAATATTCTTATTACCAACCTGTGGCCGCAGACGGGATTGGACATGCGCAATTCTCATTACCATAATTCCTGAACCATTCAAGATATCATTAAAATTCCAAAAGTGCTGAAAAGATTAAAAATGGGGCTTTTCGTGCATATACAAACATTACGGTAGCCACCGGGATTCCCTGTCTTGAGCAACGAATCACAACACAGATTCAGAGACGTGCTGAGTTTGTCATCCAAAATGCTCCGTTTTATAACTTTTGAACGGCTGATCAGATTCAAATAATTCCAACGGTTCCTAAAAGTACATAAAAGCAGCTTTCCAACGATCTATAGCATGAAGCAATCAGAGTTATGGAAAATATCTCTACGACGAGGGGAAATCCTGCCGTACAGCCTGATTGAAACAGAGCACAGCGTGGTGGAAGCGGATATCGGAACGGGGAAGCTAATTAGCATAAAAACCAGCATGAAATTATGGAAATGCCTCAAAGAAAATCAACACGATCTATTAGGTGTCCCAGAAGGCTTATGTCTGAAGTCAGTGACCACGAAGAAGGACAGATCTCGAATGTTTGTTCAGTCTTTATTTTATTTTTTTTTTATTTGAACAACCCTCAACTATTTGCTCATTGTAAGATTCAGCTTCATTCCAGCATTATTTATCCTTTTACAATAAATAATTATTTTTGCTAAAACAAAAGTTTCTGGTATAGCAGTGCACGGTGTGCCAGAGAAGCACCCCAGTGTGAGGTGTGACTCTGCCTGCAGCTGGAGAGAAACTGCTTCAAGGTCTACCACATCAAATAAAAACGTCTGAAAGTTAACAATACTAAATGGTCTTAAAAACAGCTAAAAAAGATACCAAGGTTCAAATTTTTTAAAGAATAGATGCATTTCAGTTCAAAGTTTAAATTGTTTGCCCAGTAATTTTGAAGTTCCTGTTCAGTAAGAAATGTAAAAAATTCAAATCCGTTTTTTGCTTTTTCACTTTGAAGCTGATTTTTTAAAGGCTTTAATAGAAATAAATTCTAAATACAAACCATACACTGAAAGCTGAGGTTGTTCTCAAAAAGGAGAGAGTTACACACACTTTGTACTTTTTATTACAATTTTACAGCCATAAGATTAAAAACATACCAGGCGGCCCTGTTATAATTATGGTCATAAGAGTGTTATTAAGACGGCGATGCACAAACAGGAAGTGATTGGTAGTCATTCCACTCCAATCCAGTTGGTGGCGGTAATGCACCAAATTGTTGTTTGCCAAGTGCCATAAGACCACAAACAAGAAGAATAAGAGAGGTGGCAGCGTTCGTAACAAGCTCAAAGCAATAGTAAAACATGAAGCATGAAATGGAGTTATCCTAGTGGCTCCAATAAGAGAAAGAAGCAGCTTGCTTCATAAAAGCTTTTATTTTCACTTCTGAAAGTGACGTCGTTTCTCGATGTAAACATCAAAAGGAGGCAGAAAGGAAAGACAATGGAAAATGTTCAAAGGGAGGAAAACATAGACCAAAATGGAAAATAGAAATAAAATAACAAAGGCAAAAGCAGGAGCACTGACAGGAAGAAGAAAGCACTCAAAGGGAGATAAAAACAGGAAAAAAGAGGAGGACTAATAAAAAGTGAAAATAAATCGTGTCAGAAGAGGGTAGATTTTCGCAAATCCAGTTAAAGGCAAGATTGTCGAAAATTTAGTGTAAGAGGCCCCATGTCTGTGTTCGCCTTGGGCCCCCAAATTGCTAAATCCGCCCCTGTCCACCATAGTTCTCCTCTCGAACGGATACTGGAGGAGACCGAACTGAATTCAGTGGCTGCTGAGATCCGGTATCCATGTTGTAGGCGCACTGTCTACGTCTGCGTCACGACCGTCAAAACGTGCTGGAGTCGAGACTCTCCGAGTTCTACCGAACATCAACGAAAGCCTTGGCGGTAGCTCTATCGCCCATCATGCTTCTGAAACGTTCTGAAACAACGTCAACGCTGATTGGATACATTCCCATTCCTACCCTTTGATTTTCTTGTCAGCAATTGGACAACTGGTCCCGTCCTGTTTGGGCGATTGAAAAACAGCACACAGCCTCCACCGCTCGGCAGAGACCGGCAGAGATCGGCAGAGACCAATATAGACATATATACATATATGATTTATTTTTGTTACAAAACACACAATTAACTTAGAATATGTGATTATTGTTAATTTTATTTATTTATTTTTTAAAATAAAAATTAAAAACACAGGGGAAACTGGGAGGGTGGCGCCCTATCGCCCTCTACTGGCCAGCCGCCACTGGTCCTAACAGAACCAGTGGGGCCAGTGGCTTAAGGGCTGCGACTAGACTCATAGAATCTGGGGTTACAATACGTAACCAACGTTCTATTTCGTCTAGTCTTAGCCCTTAAGCGAGCTGCTATTGGAATAATGCGCAGCTGGATGGGTTTACGCCACACTGGTTAGCTCAACCAATGAACACACCCAACACGCCTTTTTAGAGAGGGGCGCTCAGCCTCAGTCCAGGCTCGAAGGCTGAGGCAGCCAAAAATAAGAGTGGAGCCCCCACTAAAAAATAACAACCATAAAAGGATGAAAATCATTCAAGCAGGGCTGATGAGATGCCATAAAGCGTTCATTCAGCCTGCTGAGGTTCAAGCACTGAACGAGTGACGGAACCTGAAGACACATCTCGTAAATAATAACGAGTAAAAGAACAGGGTGATGCCCATGAAGCAGCCTGACAAATGTCTTCCATTGACACACCACTGAGGAGCGCCGTAGAAGAGGAAATCCCTCTGGCTGAATGAGCCCTGAGTGTCTCAGGAGGATCCCGCCCTGATGATGTGTACGCGAGTGAAATGGCGTCACATAGCCAGTGCGAAAGATGCTGGGTCGACAGCGTCTGCCCAAGGGAAGACTCCCTGTAGTGCACAAACAGGCTTTGTGAGCGGCAAATCCCCGAAGTGCGTTATACATATCGTGCGAGCGCGCGCACCGGGCAGAGAAGATGGGAAGCTGCCTCCTCCTCAGAACTATGGGGAGGAGGAAAAAGTCCAGCCAATGAAATAGTCCTGGATCTGAAGGAAGCCGTAATGGTTTTGGGCACAAAGGCTGGGTTGGGGCATAAAACAGCAGACCCGCCATCCTCCCGGATCCTGAGGCATGCGGGAGCCACTGAGAGGGTGGCCAGGTCGCTCACTCTCTTGACTGATGCCAGAGCCAGCAGCAAGGCCGTTTTGAGTGACAGGAACCTAAGTGAGACCTGGTCCAAGGGCTCAAATGGGGCTTTAGATAAGCCGTGCAGAACCACCGTGAGGTCCCACTGGGGAAATAGCGGCCGGGACACAGGTCTGTTCCTTCTGACGCCCTTTAGAAAACGTTTTGTGAGGGGATGACTGAAAACAGATCTATCTCCAAAACCCTGGTGACAGGATGAGATAGCTGCAGCATATGACTTACTAGTGCTGAATGTGAGGCCCCTGTCCATCAGTATCTGCAGAAACGATAGGACATCCGCCAGCTGGCAGGAGAGTGCTTGAACATTCCACTCTGCACACCAGTTCTGGAAAGCTGCCCATTTAGCAGCGTAAGATGCCACGGTAGAGGGCGCTCGTGCACTCTGAATCGTGGCCACCACATCATGCGGCAGCCCAGAAGCCTCTAGGCGTGACCGCTCAGCGGCCAGACCCAAAGCCTCTGGCCTATTTCGGGAGGATGTCTGATTATTCCATCCGCCTGGAGAAGGGCATCCTCCTTCCACGGCAGCCTTCACGGGGAGCCGGACACTAGCGCTTGCAGGTCCGGAAACCATGACGCGGACAAGCATCTGGGAGCCACCAGAATCACCGAAAGCTGTTCTGACCGAACTCGGTCCAGGAACCGGAGAATCAGTGGGACTGGCGGAAACGTATAGAGGAGCGTTCGAGGCCAGGGCTGGTGTGAGAACGCATCTGCCCCGAGTGGGGGTCGGTCCCGGGGGCTCAAGGAAAACCACAGGCGACACTGAGCGTTTTCGCGAGCCGCGAACAGATCCACAGAAGGTACCCCGAACCTGATCCAGATCTGCGATACCAGCGTAGGATGCAGACGCCAGTCGGAGTCGCAGGGTCCTCCTCTCGACAGGATGTCTGCTGCTACATTCAGGACCCCCGGGATGTAGGTGGCTTTGATGGACAGCAGGTGGACATGTGCCCAACACAGTAAATCTGTGGCTACACGCAACAGAGGGAGAGACTGAACTCCCCCTTGGTGATTAATGTAGGCTGTCGCCACCCGATTGTCCGTGTGAACTTCGACATGACGGCCCTCGAGAAGGGCAGCGAAGTGTCTGACCACATTCCTCACTGTCATCAGCTCCAACACATTTATGTGCTCGTGCGTGTGGGAGGGCCAGCGATCTGCCACCGTATGGGACAAGCACGTGCTCCCCCACCCCAACAGCGACGCATCCGTAAACACAGACACGTGTGACGCAGGGCGTCCGATGGGAACTCCGTGTGAAAGGGTGCAGGGGTTCCCCCAGTGAGCGAGGTCCCCACCCACTGAGGGGGGAACCCTCAACATACGTGCCTTCTGACGTATTGGGTGCACCCGGAGGCGGATGAACTAATGTTGCAGGCGCCTCGTGTGCAGCAACCCTAGCGGCACCACAGCGTGGGCTGCAGCCATCATGCCCAGAAGTTTCATGATTAACAGGGCTCTCACGATCCTGCGGGGTTGCACGCGGGAGATCACCGCGATGAGATCTGCCGCTCTCACCGGCGACAAACGTGCTCTCATCAGGGAGGCGTTCAGCTCCACCCCGAGAAACACAATCGACTGGGACGGAAGGATGGAGCTCTTCTCCCAGTTTATAGAAAACCCCAGGGTTGACAGATGCTCTGGTAACTTCCTGGTCTGTTCCGACGCCTCGTCCTCGGACCGAGCGCACAGGAGCAGGTCGTCCGGGTAAAATAAAACTCTCATTCCCGTCGTGCGCAGCGGCTGCAGCGCGGTCTCCAGACATTTGCGCGGGGCTAGCGAGTAGCTGAAAGGGAGGCGATTGAATTGGTATTGAACTCCCTTGAATGAGAAGCGCAGGAACTTCCCGTGCCTGGGAATTACCGGGATGTGGAAGTATGCGTCTTTCAGGTCTATTGACGTGAACCAGTCCCCGGAACGCACGTATTCCAGGACTTACCTCATTGTCAACATGCGGAAATGCATCACTGCTATGGAGCAGTTGAACAGGGAAAGATCGAGAATCGGTCTCATTCCTCCCGACTTCTTCGGTACTATGAAGTAGCGGGAGTAGAAATCCGAGAGCTCTTATCCGCGAGGGACCCGGGAAATAGCGTCCTCGGACAGAAGTTCCCGCAGCTCCAACTCTAGGCTCTGAGACTGAACTTGTGATGTGAACGTCGTCTCCACGATCCCGTTGAAGGGAGGAGGAGCGGCCTGAAAATGGAGTGCGTGACCTTAATGAATGGTCTCCGATATCCATTTGCTCATGGCACAAAGGCGAGTCTTGGTAGCCAAGACTCGTGCTCTCATTGGTTCCACCTAAGTTCCTCCCACTGACGCTAGAATCGAGACAAAAATATTCGTAACACTGTAGGATTTGAGGTGCGTACCTGTAGAATGAAATGTGTGTTTTGAGAGTTTTGATTTCAAACTTGTACCTTTATTTTTTCAATTTGGAAGTCTGCTAGTTACAAAACGAAAGTTTCATGTTTCTGAATGAATGTTTGATGTTACAAAATAAGTAGTAAATGTACAAAATAAAAGTTTGATTTTACAAAATAAAAAATACATGTACAAAATACAAAGTTCCTGTTACAAAACAAGAAATACAAGTATGAATTGAGAATTACAAGTTAGAAAACTAAAGTTACAAGTTACGAATCCAAAGTTACAAGTTACGAATCCAAAGTTACATGTGATGAAACATGTTCGAAGTTACAAAACTTGGTACAAGTTACGCTGAATATTGTACAAGTTACGCTGAATATTGTACAGGTTACGCTGAATATTGTCCCAATCCTAGTTCCATACATGCGATGCACTTTAATGTATATATGTATGAATAGGTATATGTGCAAAAATCCTTTTGCTTTTTGAATTATTATTACTATTAATTTTTTCTTTACAAATTGAACTGAAGTTAGCTAACCAGTCAAGCAATTACTTTGTATAGGCTAATTTATAATTATTGTTATTTCAGTGTAAAAATGTCATTTTAGTTAAAAGGGGCAGATAACATAAGTTTTCTTCTTTCTGTTCACTTTTCATTTTGTTGGTTTGAGAAACCTCATTTTATTGTTAGTATTTTTTTTTCTATTTTAATAATAAATGAAATAAATAATAAAAAAAATCCTACCAAAGAGCACTGAAAATGTATTGATTAAACAAGCGAATCCCTCCTTTAAATTTTGATGAAATAAATGCCAAAATAGTTACCTCATTTATATGGATTATTAGTAACAAAAGGTTTCTTTGGGGTTGACGGTAGCAGACCATTTAAGTGCATGTCTCATAACTGGAGAGTTGTGGGGGGGGTAATGTCACGCTCAGTCTCAGTCTGTCGCAGTAGTTATGTCTTTGGGAAAGACACTAAATCAAATCAAATCAAATTCAAATTCAAATTTTATTTGTCACATACACATTCATACACAGTACGAAATGCAGTGAAATGCCTTACACAACTGCTCGTGACCTAAGAGTTGAAAATAAAAAAAACTGTACACCACGGATTAAAATGAAGGGTAAATTAACTGGGAAAGAGTGAGGTAAAATATATCTGAATTAAAGTTGAATAATAGAATAGCTTTACAACAAAATACACAACACAATACAAATTAGAATAAAAGGTAAATTTAGCTGGGAAGGAATAAGATAAAATATATATAAGTTGAAGCTGAGAATAAAGTAACTGTACAACAAAATACATAGTATGTAAATGTGTAAGAATGTGTGAAGAAATAAAAATATCTGTACAAAACAGCGGCTGAACAAGTATTAAATGGAAATTAAAAATATATATATACAATGTCCAGAGTTGTGCAAACCACATTTTAGTGACTTTGTAGTGCAACTGTGCTTAAGCAAAGTCCAGACTGTTCAGTGTGTGTGAGAACCATATGTGTGTGCACTTACTATGTGGTGGTGTGGTTTAAAGATTGTATCGCCTGCGGGAAGAAACTCCTCCTCAGCCTCTCTGTGTTGGTCTTCAGGGAGCGGATTCGCTTCCCTGACCTCAACAGAGCAAACAGTCTGTTATTTGGATGGCTGAGGTCCTTCACGATCTTCCTGGCCTTGGTCCAGCACCGCCTGCTGTAGATCGAGTGCAGATCAGGGAGCTCGGAGCGGATGGTGCGCTCAGCTGATCGAATAACCCTCTGTAGAGCTCGTCTGTCCTGCATGGTGCTGTTCCCGAACCAGGTTATGATGTTCCCCGTCAGGATGCTCTCTATGGTGCACGAGTAGAAGTTCCTGAGCACCCTGAGGGGCAGTCGGAAGTCTCTCAAGCGTCTGAGGTAGTAGAGACGCTGCCGGGCCTTTTTCACCACGCTGTTGATGTGACAGGACCATGACAGGTCCTGCGTGATGTGAACACCGAGGTATTTGAAGCTGCTCACTCTCTCCACTGGGCACTCTTTGATGACAGGGATCTGGTAGTTCCTCTCCTGCTTTGTGCTGAAGTCCACTATCAACTCCTTCGTTTTGCTGACGTTTATAAGGAGGTTGTTCCTCTTGCACCAGGTCTCCAGATTCCTGATCTCCTTTAAGTAGGCCGCCTCGTTGTTGTCAGAGATCAGGCCCACCACGACGGTATCGTCAGCAAACTTAATGATGGTGGTGGAGCTGGTACTGGCCACACAGTCATATGTGTACAAAGAGTACAGCAGGGGGCTTAGAACACACCCTTGGGGGGCTCCAGTGCTGAGAGTGGTGGGGGCTGAGACATGTCCGCCCATCCTTACTGCCTGTGGTCTGCCAGTTAAGAAGTTGGAGATCCACTGGCACATAGATGAGCTCAGTCCCAGGTGCTCCAGTTTGGTGGTGAGTGTGGAGGGAATTATGGTATTAAATGCAGAGCTGTTGTCAATGAAGAGCATTTTAACATAATTCCCCCTTCTAGTGTCCAAGTGAGTGAGTGATGTGTGGAGGAGATGACAGATGGCATCGTCTGTAGAACGATTTGGACGGTAAGCGAACTGTAGTGGGTCCAGTGTGTCTGGTAGTGAAGAAATGATGAAGTCTCTGACCAGGCGTTCGAAGCACTTCATCACTACTGAGGTGAGGGCTACGGGGCGATAGTCATTGAGAGAAGCAGGGTGGGGTTTCTTCGGGACAGGAACAATGATGGACTCTTTGAAGCACTAAACCCACATTGCCTGCTAGTGTAGGTCGGAGAGACCGCTGGCGCTAGTGTTCGGCTGCTTTGCTTCTGTTAGTGCACTCGAGGGCAGCTGTTGCTACATTGTAGCTCATCACCACCAGTGTGTGTGCATGGGTGAATGACTACGTGTTGTGACGAACCTTATTTGCAGATGATACAACTTTTTACTATTCAGGAGATAATGTTGAGCAGATGATAGAAGTGATACAAACAGAGATGCAAAAAATTAAACCATGGTTTGATGGGAACAAACTATCATTAAACAGCAATAAATCATGTTTTATGATATTTAGTAATACACATTCAAATGATGAAATTTTATTAAATATAGATGAGATTAATATTAAAAGAGTTCAGGAAGTCAAGTATCTGGGAGTCATCATTGATGAAAAAATGTCTTGGAAGCTGCATATAAACAGTGTCAAAACTAAAATATCTAAAACTGTTGCACTGTTACATAGAGCAAAATGGCTACTTGATAATAATTCCCTGTATTTGTTATATAACTCACTGATCATACCATACCTGAACTACTGCATTGAAATCTGGGGAACAATATATACAACTTACACAAATTCCATTTACATCTTACAGAAAAAACCAATAAGAATAATCACAAGGAGCAACTACAGAGATCCGTCCAATCCATTATTTATAAAATTAAAAACACAAAAATTCTATGATCTGGTGGACTACAATATTTTAAAATTTATGTATAATGCAAACAAAAGGAACATACCTGCAGGAGTAATCAAAAGATTTACAAAAAGACATAGCAAATATGATTTAAAAAGACATGAATTATTTAACATTCCTAGACATCGGATACTCATAAAGGAACATTGTGTGTCCATATATGGAGTTAAATTGTGGAATAAATTAAATACCAAAATCAAGAATGCAAAAACAATATTGACTTTCAAAAAAGAGATAAAAAATGAAATGATTAACCTATATAGATCCGTTACATAATTGTGTGAGGGAAGGGGGGTTGGGGGGATGAAAGAAAAACAGCAAACAAGTCTATGTATTCATTTGTGTATATATGTATGTATAGAGGTCTATAACTTTATGCTTCTCTCTGTGTAACTCGTTTTCTTTTCTTTTTTCTCGATTCATGGGTTGAGATTGTGTGGGCCAACCAGTCCAGGAACTATATTGATCAATTTTTTTTTGTATTAATGTTATTTTAGTTAAAAGGGGCAGATAACATACGTTTTTCTTCTTTCTGTCCCCTTTTTCATTTTGGCTTGTAGTAATTTTTTTCTGTATTTTTATTTTAATGTCAATAAATGAAATGGGGGGTTGTAGAACTCTAGAAGGTCCTATAAATAAACAAGCCATTTGCCATTTACCAGATTAAAATGGGTACTTTGTGTTCTGTGTGGACATTCATGTGACTGCGTACATGAGACTTACGGCTAAATCTTTGTCCACATAGCTCACAAGCAAAAGGTTTCTGTCCTGTGTGGACTCTCGTATGAGTGTTTAAATTTGCCTTTTGGCTAAATTTTTGTCCACATAGCTCACAGGCAAAAGGTTTCTGTCCTGTATGGACTCTGATGTGATTGTTTAATGCTGTCTTACCACTAAAGTGTTTTCCACATAGCTCACATGTAAAAGGTTTCTGTCCTGTGTGGACTCTCATGTGATTGGTTAATGTTGTACTATCACTAAAGCTTTTTCCACAGAGTTCACAAGTAAAAAGTTTCAGTCCTGTGTGGACGCTCGTGTGTCTGCTTAAATTAGCCTTTTGGCTAAATTTTTGTCCACATTGCTCACAGGCAAAAGGCTTCTGTCCTGTGTGGACTCTGATGTGATTGTTTAATGCCGTCTTACCACTAAAGTGTTTTCCACATAGCTCACACGTAAAAGGTTTCTGTCCTGTGTGGACTCTCATGTGATTGATTAATGTTGTCCCATCAGTAAAGCTTTTTCCACAGAGCTCACAGACAAAAGGCTTATGTCCTGTGTGGACTCTCATGTGTCTAATTAAATGTGCGCTTTGGCGAAAATGTTGTCCACAGAGCTCACAAGTACAAAGTTTCTGTCCTGTGTGGACTCTCATGTGTCTATTTAAATTTGCCTTTTGGCTAAAACTTTTTCCACAGAGCTCACAGACAAAAGGTTTCTGTCCAGTGTGGATTCTCATGTGACTGTTTAAATTAGTCTTTTTGCTACATTTTTGTCCACAGAATTCACAGGCATAAGGTTTCCGTCCTGTGTGAACACTCATGTGTCTGTTTAAATTAGTCTTTTTGCTATATTTTTGTCCACAGAGTTCACAGGTAAAAGGTTTCTGTCCTGTGTGGACTCTCATGTGATCTTTTAAATTAATTTTACGAGTAAACATTTTTCCACAGTCATCACAACTAAACGATTTTGGTTCTTTCTGGACTTTCCTGTGTGAATCTACAAGTTGCTTGACTCGAACACATTTCTTTTTAACCAAACAGCCAGAAGATTTTTTTGTTGAATGACTCATCACTCTCCCATGCTTCTGGAGAGACCCCGTGTTGAGAAGCCCTTTATCACACTCAGGGCAGCTACAGGATTTGTTGACTGTCTTAACATCTGACTCAGAAGATCTGCTACCACTACAGTCACTGTCTTCGTCTCTAGTTTCAGGCCCAGACTCTGATAGCTCAGTGTCTAGATTTACATCATCATCATCATCATCATCCTCTTCATCATGTCCATTGTCTTCAGTCTCTAAAGAATCGGACATCAGTTCATGATGGTTCAGATCTGGATTCCTACTAGTTTCTGCTGTCACCTGGTCAGCTGAGCTGCTGGTTGAAACATGATGAAGCTGTGAGAAAAGAGGCTTCTCTTCATCATCCTCACTCTTTATAGAAACTGCAGTGACTAAAATCCTGTCAGCATCAGTCTCCATCTTCAAATGGAGCTGATCTCCCTCCAGACCGATCCAGAGTTCCTCCGGTTCCTCTTTTATGTGGAGGTGTTCAGTGTCCTGCTGGTCCACACCAGCACTCTGTTCTTCAGGAGCTTCTTCTTTAACCATCTGTTGAACAT